ACTGTGTGTATATACTGTGTGTACTGTGTATATATACTGTGTGTACTGTGTATATACTGTGTGTACTGTTTGTACTGTGTACGTGTGTATATACTGTGTACTGTGTGTATATACTGTGTACTGTGTGTATATACTGTGTGTACTGTGTATATACTGTGTGTACTGTGTGTACATACTGTGTGTACTGTGTGTGTATATATACTGTGTGTGCTGTGTGTATATACTGTGTGTACTGTGTATATATACTGTGTGTACTGTGTGTGTATATATACTGTGTGTACTGTGTGTGTATATATATACTGTGTGTACTGTGTATATACTGTGTGTACTGTGTGTATATACCGTGTGTACTGTGTGTATATACTGTGTGTACTGTGTGTATATACTGTGTGTACTGTGTGTATATACTGTGTGTACTGTGTGTATATACTGTGTGTACTGTGTATATACTGTGTGTACTGTGTGTATATACTGTGTATATACTGTGTGTACTGTGTGTTTATACTGTGTGTACTGTATATACTGTGTGTACTGTGTGTATATACTGTGTGTACTGTGTGTATATACTGTGTGTACTGTGTGTATATACTGTGTGTGAATTTACGTTGTGTACTGTGTGTATATATACTGTGTGTACTGTGTGTATATACTGTGTGTACTGTGTGTATATACTGTGTGTACTGTGTGTATATACTGTGTGTACTGTGTGTATATATATACTGTGTGTACTGTGTGTATATACTGTGTGTACTGTATATACTGTGTATACTGTGTGTATATATACTGTGTGTACTGTGTGTGTTTATACTGTGTGTACTCTGTGTACATATACTGTGTGTACTGTGTATATACTTTGTGTACTGTGCACGCTACTCGGCAGGCAGCTGTCTCCTCGTGCGGTTTCGCTTTGTGCGCTCTTTTTTTTTTGGAACAAAGTGAGCAAAGAAACCTGTGGTCTGTTTACGTGTCTCAGGAACGAAGGCCTGTTCATCCTTACTAAAGCAATGGGTGGCTGACCGTGCCGAGTCACGAAAGATCGCACAAATGCGTGGTATAGCTCATCCAGCAGTGGATAGCTCACGGCTGATGATGACACGTAGGATCCCATCGTGAACTTGAATCTCGGTTGTTTCCTCCCCCTCCCCCCCCAAATAAACCACTATAAGTATACACCCCTTCAACGGAGGAGGAATAGCCGAACTACATCAACTCTCTCAAGAAGCCCTCTTATTTTGGTATAGCCCTGTGAGCCATTCGGCTCTTGAATCGGGTGCAACCGCAACAAACAATAAAACACGAAAACATCTTAAAGTGACTATGCTACTGTGCAAACAGAAACTCCAGGGGGGGGAGGGAAACAGCAAAATATTCCTGAAAAAACACCGTACACCAATGCTGTGTGCCAATTTGCCTGTCGTTCGCGCAGGAATAGAAGAATACCGTGGTCGTGTAAGGGGTTAGCGCAAGCGTAACTGCATCTCTCTGGGTCTCATGCGGACAGATAGAAGCGATGTCGAGGGTGGTGGAGGGGGGGGGGTTACTGGTCGCACCGTGACTTGACTTTAAGAACAGCCATGCAAATAGGAAGTGGGTCGTTAAATTCAGAGCCAATTATTCACGCCCAGCTTTACAGAAGAGGAGGGGGGGGGGCGCGCACTGCCCGGGGTAATTGCCCGGGTTCACTCGTGGACCATGAAACCGGCTTGCCCGTGTTTTATTTAGCTCTCCACTCGCTCAGCCTCGTCAAGACTTGTCGGGTCACTGGGGTGGCGACTGCGCTTTCGAGTTCCTCTTGCGTGGTCGAATCATCTCTTGCCACGGTGATGGGGGATGCCCGCACTCTGGCTCCTCTGGACTGCCAGTGGAGATGGGAATTTGTCCCAGTGCTCTTTTGAGCCAGGGACACTTTGGCTTTATGCATTTTTGGGAAGCATTGTGATTACGATGGTGGTGATGGTGGTGTTGATGGTATTGGTGGTGGTCGTGATGATGATGGTGGTGATCGTGGTGGTGATGGGGAGCGGTAGTGTCGCGGGTTAGGGCGCTGCGCTACGAACCCGGTGACCCGAGTGCGATTCATGCTCGCGGCCACCACCATTGACGATTTAATTATTTGAACCGGTCCTGGGCCTCCCCTAGGTCAACTCGGTCTCAAATGAGTACCTTGTGCGGTATGTAAACATCGCCAATGGGGAGAAAAAGACAACCGGGCGTGGTGCTGGCCACCCACCCCCTCGTATGCCGTGCCGGCCTTCATAGGTGCTGCTCGATAACAGCACTTGCCCCAACAGTCTGTGAAGGCTATATAGGGGACCTTTGTCTTATGGTGACGGTGGTGATCATGATTGCAGAACTGGTCGAAGCAGAAGTGGTGGTGATGACGATTGTGAAGGTTATTGTGGTGGGGATTATGATGGTGGGGGTAGTGGTAGAAGGGGTTCTTGCCAAAGTAATGTGGAATGTGTTCTCTCGCTCTGTTCTGACAACCAAGATGATGGCATTTGTCGAATACTGATTGGCGATGTTTACATACCGCACACTTTTACCTGGCATAGATTGTGTGTATATGTGCAACTTATTTCGCACCGTACGTAGCAAACCAAGGTGCGGTGGAAGGACAACAGACTAAACACAATCAGTAATTCTAAAGAAATTAGTTTTCAACTTCGATTAAAAACATTTTGATTCAGTTTAGATGTTGTAGGAATAGTGATGATTAAGGTAGTGGAGACAGCCGTGGTGGTGTTTATAATGGTGGTGATGGTGATAATAATGGTGATGAGGTTGTGTTGGGAATGAGGTTGTTGTGATGGTGATGATAATGGTGGTGATGAGGTTGTGGTGGCGATGATGATAGTGGTGATGGTGGTAAGGTTGTGGTGGCGATTATGATAGTGGTGATGGTGGTAAGGTTGTGGTGGCGATGATAGTGGTGATGGTGGTGATGAGGTTGTGGTGGCGATGATGATAGTGGTGATGGTGGTAAGGTTGTGGTGGCGATGATTATATTGGTGATGGTGGTAAGGTTGTGGTGGCGATGATGATAGTGGTGATGGTGATGAGGTTGTGGTGGCGATGATGATAGTGGTGATGGTGGTAAGGTTATGGTGGCGATGATGATAGTGGTGATGCTGGTAAGGTTGTGGTGGCGATGATGATAGTGGTGATGGTGGTAAGGTTGTGGTGGCGATGATGATAGTGGTGATGGTGATGAGGTTGTGGTGGCGAAGATGATAGTGGTGATGGTGGTAAGGTTGTGGTGGCGATGATGATAGTGGTGATGCTGGTAAGGTTGTGGTGGCGATGATAGTGGTGATGGTGGTAAGGTTGTGGTGGCGATGATAGTGGTGATGGTGATGAGGTTGTGGTAGCGATGATGATAGTGGTGGTGGTGATGAGGTTGTGGTGGCGATGATTATGGGAGTGACCACCACCATACATGGTGACGTTGCAACATGTCGGGTAGAAAACCTATTTTGAGACTCAGATAAACCTGTTTGCTATATTTCAGTGTCGTATTTTTATTTTCTGTCTCTGACTATATCACTTGGAATGCACCCTATCTCATTCATCTCAGAACTTCACCAAGGGTTGGGTCTGGATAGTGCCTGGATGTGCAACCACCAAACAAAAAACAGGTGTTATAGGCTGCTTAAGGGCTATGATGCCGTCTGTTGCCCACAACAAAGCAACAAATACTATTGTTGTACTGTACGTCTGTGCTCGCATGTCTCGGCTTCCTGCTTCCGTCAACCCGCACATGCCAGCGTAGTGAAGTATGGTGAAATGGTCCCCCACTCCCCGACGCCTTCATCCAAGCGGTGGATTGACAAAGGGCTGTACACGTTCCTCGTTATTTACCATCCATGCAACCAAACAAGTGACAGTGTCTTTAATTCGGGATGTGTACTGCACACACCGAACTCTGGCATAGCAGTGCATGGCGCAGCGATTCGCGCACCGTGCGAAAAAACCTGGCCGACCTAAGAGAGATTTCAGACACGGCTTGCATCGGTGGCGAGTGACATCTGAGCCGGTCCTGGACAACCTCCACTCCCACACCAGCCTGGTAGTTCCATTTATTTGGTATAGCCCTGTGAGCCATTCGGCTCTTGAATCGGGTGCAACCGCAACAAACAAAAAACAAAAACATGAACAAGAAAACATCTTAAAGTGACTATGTGACTGTGCAAACAGAAAATCCAGGAAAAACATCAAAATATTCCTGAAATAGCACCGTACACCAACGCTGTGTGCAAAAATCCCAGTGGGATGCAAGTCAAACAACAACAACAACCACAAGACAACTAAGATTTAGGCCATCAGTCTAACTCCGTACTACAATAAACAAAAAACATGGCCAAACCAAAAAAACGTTTTCGAAATCACCAAAATAAAAGCCATAAATGCAATGTAACAGTGATCATAGGGACTGTGACCGAATTTTTTAACAATAAACTACATAAATAAATTATAACACCAAACCCTAGAACCATGGTGAAAGTATGGTCAAATAACCTTCCATCGTCAGAAAAAGTGGGTGGGGGGAGGGCTTCCATTCAGCAGTTGATTGAGAAAGGTCTGCAAATGATCAATCATTATTGCACCGAATATAAAAGAAAATATGTCAATATAACATATCCGTGAACCAGCATTAGCTTTCAATAGTAATTGGTTGGCCAAGTCTAACAATAAAAACTGGGACGTCCCCCCCACCCCCGTTCACTTCTCAGAGTACTCTGACCTGTGGCTTTGTTTTCTCCCATTTACAATGGAGCGGCAGCAGACGTACACACACACTGCAGTTTGGCTTCCTCGTTTTGCGTGTCCCGTATGCCGAACTTCTTTCACGCCGTACGTATTCCAACCGTGCTCATCGGAGACGCGCGCGGGGGGGGGGGGGGGCAAATAAAACAAAGCATCCTCCCACCGGCCGCTTTCTGTTTCACATTCTTCTCGAGTTACGTGGCAAGGAACCTGACAACAGCGCGCGCTTTCAGCCGGCCAGGAAGTCGGGGAGCGCACAGGGCACGGGATAACAACAGCAGCCACCTCCGGGATTCGTCCTCCTCGCTGGCGGACGGACGCACGCACGCACGGCTCCATAGCCACGGCGAACGAGGCGGCCACCCGGGATGGGAGACCCGGGAGCGGAGGCTACGGGTGCCCTGGAGTACCTTGGAGAGGAGGCGCCGCTGCCCAAGATGGGGCGCCTGCGTCTGGCAGAGGAGGGCCCCATTAAAGCCGGTAGGGCCCTCGGAGTGCCGTCTTGGCTTTTGGTGCCGTTTTGGCTTTTCGGCCAGATCTGTTCAGAGACGGAAGGGGAGGGAGGAGGGAGGGGACGCTTTATCCAGGGGCGCTCGCTCACAACAGACCCTGGGTTTTTGTTGTTGCTGTACTTAATTAATAGGGGGGGGGGCGCCCCCCACATGCCACTCTGCCCCAGGCCTCCATCCAGCCCTGGGACTCCAGACACCTCCAGGTGGCTCTCTGGCTTTGGCACCAACTTTGTACAACAGCTGAGCCAGAAATGTTATTAAAATGCATCCACAATTAATTAATTTAAGACTGCGTTAGAGACGTGTTGGTTTTTCACCCGATGCTGTATGTAATCACCAGCGAAACGTCGCATTTGAATTGTAAATGTTGCGGATTTACTCTCCAACACACCGGTGGGCTGAAGTAGTAAACTATTTGGCGCGTTGTTTCCACGACAATTGACAAACCTTACTGGCTGTGTAAGTTGATGGAGAGTTTATATTTACGCGATCTAATCCAAAAACATCTATTATGAGCTATATGGATAGTTGCATCGCTGGACAGTGAGATACCATAATATTTGTTTATACTGGAGGACAGCTTGGGGAAGGCCTTCATCCATCCAATGGTGGTTAGACCATGGCTGATGACGATGATGATCAATTAATCCACGTGTTTACATCGACTAAGAGCGTCAATGTATTGATGTTTCTGCTCCGCACTACAATGCAGTCTGGAGGGAGTTTGCCCCACCCCAGTTGCTGATCATAATTCATCGGAGGGCGAGGGAAGAAGAAAAATCCATTCATGTCCATATTTCAGGCATACGTGTTTAATTAAGATCCGGGCACATTCGATAAATAACATTGCATCGTCGTAAACGCCGCGCGTGTAACGTAGGTAGTGTGTCGGCTCTAGCACAACAACAACAACGACAACAAAAACGAAACGCATTCGCCGATAACGCCGAGCCTTGAAAGGAACAATATACAATTGGTGACGTTATACATCCCTATAAATGTGTATAAAGCGTACATATATCCCAATCTCGATTGTAAAAATGGAGTTTGCAGTGGGAAGGGGGAAAAAGGCTGGCTCGCTGGAAATCCCCACGGCAAACAGTTTTTACACGAGGAAATAAAAATAGCAATGAATAACTTTACGAGCACGCGAAGATTAACGGGGACTAGTACAACAATCTATGCTGCCTTGGTTTTAATGATTAGCTGTTCGATTTCCTGAAATGGGTAGGCCAGTTAGTTGATCCGTGGGTTGCGTGTGGCTACCTCGCGCACCTCCTCCGAGACTTCTGGCCAACATGGAAGAGTAGGCCAAATACTCTCTAGAGGGACCCTCTAGAGCAGGGGTGGGGAACGTCCGGCCCGCGGGCCGTATAAGGCACCGCGAAATCATTTGGTCTCTGGCCCTGCCAAGACAACCGCAGGCAGGACTCGAAATTCAATAAATCTAGGAGCAAACCTGGAAAAGCAGTTGCGAGTAGCAACATCGTCAATACCAGCTAACATCATCACACGCCTTACCACAGAGAAGCAGTTCCAGCCATCACATTAGGGGCGAGTTAAATCAATGTTTGACCAAATATAACGGGCTAATTTATTTTTAAGTTGATAATTTTGTATGGGCCCGCGAATGATGTTATAAATATCCAAATGGCCCCTGGAAGAAAAAAGGTTCCCCACCCCTGCTCGAGAGCTCCCTCTCGTATGACGGAGATACCCCTATAGCCTTTACAGATTTACAGACTTTTTATACAAGTGCCTCCCTAGTGGCTAAGTTTACACACCGCACCAGGTACTCTTTTTGAGGAGAGACTCAGGACCAGTTCAGATGACGGCCACTGATGTTAGCCGTGAGCGGGAATCGTGTCACCGGGTTCGTAGTGCAGTACGGCACTAATCGCTGCACTGCCGCTCCCCGCTAGTATATATATTATTTTACCAGGTAAGGTCCACTGAGCTAGATAGCTCTTTTCCAGAAGCGACCTGGCCACAAATGATAGCTCAACGAAGTCACGTGGAAATGTCTAGCAGTCAAATACTCCTCACGCATGTTTCTAAATGTGGAGGAAAAACCGGAGGACCCGGATAATAAAAAAACTCACGGCCATGGGGAGTGAGACATGCAAACTCCAAACAAACAGGCGTCAGGGTCGGAATCGAACTCACGACCTCCTGTATATCAGGCGAGGTAGTTAACATCTCGCCACCGTGCTGCCCCTAGTATAGAACTTGCGACAGCAGTGGCATGAGTGAGCAATTTCTGAGCTGCATCTTTGCCCATAATAACAATCGGTAGACACACTCACACTCTCATTCCCCCTTGTTGTGTGGTGGTTTATGTTTAATCTCAGTGGTGAATATGTTGGCAAATGATTGGGAGGTGGCGTTTGACAACCTCCATAACTGCTCGCTCATGCGTGACAAGTTGACAAATTTGTTTTTTTTTTGTCCCCGATTGCTTGGCAAAGGCAGCCTGAGTGTCCGGTGATGAAATCATAGTGAAAGAAAAACAATGTTGGAACTTCCAGAGTTAGACATAAACTGTTTGGCCAGCAAGCGGACAAGAATGTGGGGTCCGATTGAGAATGCTTGCCTTGTTTATCTGAGTGTGCCATCTTACACAGCCAACCTTATCTGTTCATGTCGTCTCAATCTACAGCCTCTCTTGTTTAGCTTTAAAAGCAGTTCTAATGCCATGGCCCCCCTTAAAGCCGATTTGTTATGGCAATAAATTGAAACCGTTAACATTGTTTTGAGCATCATCAACAGTCGTAATCTATCCATTGCCTGATGAAGGCTTCCTCGAGCCGTTACCAACTCTCATGCTCTCCGCTTGCAACAAATCCATCTCCATAATGGAAGTTTTTTGTTTGATCGCATAAATATAAATGTGTCGCTAAACACGCAACCACCCAGCACAGCCAATTCGTAAGGTTTGTCAAGAAAACAAAACGTGCCAATTGGTTACGAGTATAGCACACCGGTGTGTTGGAGAGTCAAAATTCTGGCTATCACCTGATGAAGCTAGTTGTATCACCAGTGAAACGTCGTACTCGAATTGTAAATCCATCTCGTTCGTACCACAACAGATGATTTCATTGCTCCATTTCCACGGTGGTCCTCTCCCAAGTGTCATCCCGTGTTTGGTTCCCAATCCGCCCTTAGTCTCGACTGCCAGGCATCCTGGCTTCCAGCTCCCCCTTACCTTTCCCTGGCATCCAAGATGACGTCTCTGACTGTACTCCGTGCATTCCTCATCATGTTTCTCAGCGTAACATTCCAAGCAAGCGTGTGGCTCGCTCTCTTTCTCCGTGCTTATTTGCACACATTTCAGCTGCTGTTTCATCATCTAGGTGAAAGTCTGTCTTTTTGGAGATAAAATATTTTTAGCTTTCACCGTGGAAATTTTGGGGGGGGCGGGGGCGGTATAAATCCACGACACTCAACCCGGGCGCCACCTTCCCTAGGCGAGCCCTCCTCCGGGGCGGTGGAGAACGGCAGCAGCAAAAAGTCGCACGTGGACATCAACGACTCCTACTACGACGTGGCTCGTCACGGCATCCTGGAAGTGGCGGGTACGCGCGCTCTACGGCGTCCATGCACATTCACAATCGCGCTCCGCACTCGCGACAGTGTCCCCCCGTGTGTAGGCCACACCGATTGACGTGTTTTTATGTTGCCCCGAAACTCAACTGGCATACTGTCGTTTGGGCTGAGCGACAAAAGCGACGAAAGTGACGCTTCTACGGAGCAAAACTACTGTACGTTAAAAAAAATTATTCTCTTTTCTCTCCCCAGGTAAGGCCCACTGAGCTATGTGGATCTTTTTTCGAAGCTACCTGGCCACAAATGGTAGCTCAACGAAGTGGCTTATCATCATGTGGACATTTAGAGCAGCCAAATGCTCTAAACAACACGAACCCACTCCCGAGGTCCGCTCGTCGTGGCTAACAGACCTCGACATTGCCATTTAAATCCTGAACATTGCAATTATTTGATCGCCCTTCCTATTATCCGTACCCCCAGTTGATACACAGAAACTCCTGTTATATACTAACCGAGTGTTTTTTCCTGCTATCCAGGCACTGTGCCTCCTCCCCTTTGCTAACCTACGCTAACCAGTGAGATGAAGTATGGTCCAACAATCTCCCACAAGTGGCACAACATGGAGGGAGGAGGCCTTTCATGAATGTATTGGCAAAAGGCTGTAAATCATCAAAATAATATCTCCACACTGGTATCAGGAGCTACTATCTGTGGATGATCGGATCCATCAGTTGCACCCACCCCTCCACAAATCACCATAGTTAAGAGGAGCATGGCTCTACATTCAGCTGCGGCCCTCCGTGATGGACAGGCAAGCTGTGAGCACGGGCCGTGAGAGCTGTGAGTGCGAGCTGTACGGGCTGTGGAGGAGCAGGGTGTGGCGTTGTTAATCGGTGCTGACTGGGGGGGGCCCTTTTCCATCTCGTGTCGCCGTGATCAGGTGACGACAGCTACGGCCGGCGCGTTGTCGTGTTCAGCTGCTGTCGCATGCCGCCCTGCCACCAGCTCAACCACCACAAGCTGCTGCAGTGAGTTCCAGCGCGGGGCGCAACGTGGGACCCTTTCTCCCGCACGTCGGACGACGATCCGGCATCGCCCCGGCTCCGTAGCGGAGGTCACACGGCAAGCTGCCGGGCAGTCGTGCATTCACGACGACGCTATGTAAAACTAAACGTGATTATTATTATTATTCTTCAACAAATCACGCAGTCCCCGTCGCCCCATGCTCGCGCGCCCTCCACAGAACGGAGGGCGCTGCGTCAAAGCTTCGGCAGAATGTGGAGTGCGCGTGACAAATTCAATCGCCGCGCGTCCTAAAGTGCCGTTCGACCCAAGAGGCACTCGCATCTGCGCACGACCTCGGCACAGAATGGAGAGACTGAGAATAAATTTACCCCTCGACCGCGGCTGCCGGACAGAAATGCAAAGCAGCCTGCGGGAGGGCTGCAGCTCTGTTAGCAGCAGAGCCCAGTGGCTTCGTGTTGACTGCGCGTCCCGCATTATTATACCCTGTTATATATACTATTCTTGCATTTAATGGCAACTCTCACCTCCGATTGGCACAGTTGGCTACGTATGGTGCGGAAAAAGTTATAAATACATACAAATGCCAATGTCGAGATGGCTTTGGGAGAGAGTTCATGTAGTTTTGCTATTCCTCCTCCATTGAAAGAGTGCAGACTGCAGTGGTTTGCTATATAGTCCATAAACAACTTTAAACAGGCTCTAGGATAGCTGCACATGTATACAGAGCATAACAATCAGGCGTTTGCATATTCACTGTGGATGCCTGCAAAACAGCCACCCGAGTGAAAAGTTCAGATTTAATGTGTTCACTTTGTGTGTACGCCTATGTAAAAATAACCCACAATGCACCCGATCTCATCAGATCTCAGAAGTTAAGCTGGGTTGAGCCTGGATAATGCTTGGAAGGGCAACCACCACGCACAGTACACCACTCCAGGCTGCTGCGGGGCTACGTTGTGGGCCGCAGTCGGCATTGCAAAAAAAAGATAACTTCATCAAAACCACACTGACCAGTGTGGTGAAGTATAGTCATCCAGCTGTGGATTTACAAAAGGGGCCGCGCATGCTCGAAAAAATGAATGCATTTGAATATTCACTGCAGACGCGTCGGAACAAAGCTGTCTAAAGTTAAGAGGTTCAGATCTCGTGCGTTCCCGCTGTGTGTGTGTGTGTGTTTATCTTTGAGGGGAGCGGTGGTGCGGCGGTTAGCGCACTGCGCTACAAACCCGATGATGCGAGTTTGATTCCCGCCCATGGCCGATAGCAGAGACGAATAATTTAACCGGTCCTTGGCCTCCCCCTAGGTCGACTCGGCCTGAAATGGGTACAGTACCTTGTGTGGCGTCTAAACATCAGCACTGGGGAGACAAAGTTGGCCGGAGGCGGCGTTGGCCACGCCTGCCCTCGTGAGTCGCTCCGGGCCTTCATCGATGCAGCACTTGCCCCAATATTCTCGCCGAAGGATATAGGAGGGGATCTTTGATCGTGGTCTCTTGTTGTGTGCGGCTGATTTATTCCATGTCCAGGTACCTGAAGCACACTCTCGAACACTACGTGGAGAGCGACTACACACTCGTGTACTTCCACTACGGCCTCACGAGCCAGAACAAGCCCTCGCTCTCGTGGCTGCGCGACGCCTACAAGCAGTTTGACCGCAAGTAGGTGCTGCTCTCCTCGTGTGTGACGCCGTGTGTGACGCCGTGTGTGACGCCGTGTGTGACGCCGTGTGTGACGCCGTGTGTGTGCGTGTGTGTGTGTGTGTGACGCCGTGTGTGTGTGCGTGTGTGTGTCTGACGCCGTGTGTGTGCGTGTGTGTGTGTGACGCCGTGTGTGTGTGTGTGTGACGCCGTGTGTGTGTGCGTGTGTGTGTGTGACGCCGTGTGTGTGCGTGTGTGTGTGACACCGTGTGTGTGTGTGTGTGCGTGTGACGCCGTGTGTGTGTGTGTGGGGAGCGATAGTGTAGCGGTTAACGCGCTGCGCTATGAACCTGGTGACCCGGGTTCGTATCCCGCTCACGGCCAACACCGGTGACGATTATCTGAACCGGTCCCGGGCCTCCCCTAGGTCGACTCATCCTCAAATGAGTACCTGGTGCGGTGTGTGAACATTGCCACTAGGGAGACAAAGGCGGTCGGGCGTGGTGCTGGCCACCCACCCCCTCGTGTACCATTCCGGCCTTCATAGGTGCTCGCTAACAGCACTTGCCCCTACAGTTTGTTAAGGCTATATGGGGGATCTTTGTCTTTGTGTGTGTGTGTGACGCCGTGTGTGTGTGCTTGAATATGGGGAGTGGTGGTGCAGTGGTTGTCACGCTGCGTGACGAACCCGGCGACCCGAGTTCGATTACCGCTCACGGCCAACATCGATTGGCGAATATCTCAACCAGTCCTAGACTTCTTCTACATCGACTCAGCCTGTTAATTAGTACGCCTGGTGCGATGTGTTAAACATCAGCACCTGGGAGACAGATGCGGCCAGGTCTTCATAGGTGCCCGCTAACAGCACTTGCCACTCCAGTAATTTAAGACTACATGGGGGGGGGAGGGGTCTTTGTCTACACCACTGCTCCTCGTCCACAACAACCGCCCACAAATAACGGCCCACAATGGCAGCTGTTGTGGCTGTTACTTGTAAGTGTGTGTGCATCTTCGAGCGGTGTGCTACGACGACTAGCGCCACTTTTCCAGTGGTATGTGAACGTGTCCTGTGATGCCTGGGATTCCCCCTAGTTCCACCTACCTGGTATGGAATGCAAACCTCAGCCAGGCAGTGGAGCCAGCCACAATATCCCCTCTTGCGCACTGCGCCGGCCTGAAGTAGCTCCTCTGTTCGCTCGTAGCAATTGGTCCACATTGCATGTGCGTTCGTGTGGTGCTGCACTGGTGGAGGGCTAGGGGGGGGGGTGTGAGAGGGGCTGTAGGGGGTGGGGGGCTTTGCCCAGGCTCCTAAAGCAGCAAGCAGTCTAAACAAGTCCCCTGTGGGATGGTAAATGTTTAATGAAGCATTACAGCTGTGCCTGTAATTGTTATCTATTGAGACTTTTTTTTTATTTAGACCTGTCCCATTCTGTTAAAAAAACAATCATCGATTAACCAGCAAGCTTTTCCAGACGTTCCTTTCGTTATTGCCAGTGTTGTTTAGGGAGGGTTTCCCCCCCCCCCCCCACCAATCAATAGGGTTATTAGAATTGTGGCTTGGCCTTTCCTTGACGGCTTCATTCTGCAAGGCATCGTTGTTTCAGTTCCTCTCGTTGTGTCCGTTCTGTTCTCTCCCCAGGTACAAGAAGAATCTCAAGGTCTTGTACATCGTTCACCCGTCAAGCTTCATTAAGACCGTGTGGAATTTTTTCGGGCCCTTGATAAGGTTCGTGGCTCTCTCGCGTTGCCCTGGGTAACGACGACGCGTCGTCGCCCGCTTGTTCCCGGCAGAGTCGGCGTTTCTGGGAAGGGGCCCCTCTGCGCGGCGTTGGTGCTACTTGCACCTCAGATTAGCGCGGTTGGCTACGTACGGTACGAAGGAAGTTGAACGTACGTTACTTGGCCGTGCGTCGGTGATACTCGGCCGTGCGTTGGTGTTACGTGACCGTGCGTCGGTGTTACCTGGCCGTGCGTCGGTGTTACGTGACCGTGCGCGCGAGCTTGCTCTGTCTCCCCTGCTCAACTCTCTGTGCCCACAGCCGCAAGTTCGCGCGGAAGGTCGTGTACATCAGCTGCCTCGCCGAGCTGCAGCAGCACATCAGAGGCAGCCGAGTTGCCATCCCGGACGAGGTGATTAGGTGAGAAAGAGGTGTTGAGGAGGAGGAGATGGCGGTGGTGGTGGTGGTGGTGTAGAGGTTTGCGCGCTCCGGCAACCCGAGTTGGGGGTGACGATCGCTCCTGATGACTGACACGACCACAAATCTGGCCCCGAGGGCACGGATAGTAAAATTGGGGCACATTACCCAGGACGGCGTGGACTGACAGCTGTGATGGCGTCATACCGACCCCTAGACGGCAAGCCACACCGCGGGGGATCACAAAAATCCCTCAGTCACCTCACGAGCAAAAACACAGTTCTGAGATTTGATTCTCCGGAGAAATCTGCACGATCAGCATCCTGATACAGGACCGGTCGGGGTGGTTGGAGGGGGTGGAGGTTTGGGGTGGGGGGAGGGGTGGGGGGAGGGGGTGGGGGTTGGGGTTGGGGGTGGGGGGGTGGGACAGTTCCGTTTGTTCTTTGGTCGAAGCAACCAACGCAGGCCAATAGGATTTTGAGGGTCCCCCGCAGCAAGAGGACACGTTCTAGTTCGTGTTCTGTTGTTGCAGGGGTCTAAATCACAGCGGAGCACGGGGTCCAATGGTCTTAGCCAGGCTGCGGGCAGCGGCGAACGGCACCCTTGAGGGTGTAATCGAAGAGGGTTGAGACGTTTCTTGGATCGAGTGAGGTTACTAGAACCAGGGGAGGGGGGGGGCAGTGGAGAAACACGTCGGGAGGGAAGTCGAACGGTGGGAAGAGAGAAGCACAAAGGGGTGGTCGGACACCCTGCGATTTTTTTTATGGTGATCCAAAGGCTCCCCTACTAATTAACTATTTTTGTTTTACAAGATAAGACCCACTGAGCTTTTCAGAAGTGACTTGGCAACAAATGATAGCTCGACAAAGTGATATAATGTCTGAAAATATAAGTATTGCGAATATACATTCCAGTTATTCTCAAGCCACCAACGGATAAAGTTTTCCTTATGCCTTGTCAGTCACGGGTTGTTGTTGTTGTTGTTTTTTTCTTCACCATACTTCACCACGCTAGCCAAGTGTGGCTTGGGGAAGTCGGTAGGTGAGTGGCAGGACTAGTTTTGATATCACTCGCCACTGACGTTAGCTGCTGCTGGAAATCGACCTCTCGGGTTGTTGGGTTCAGACCACTGGCAGAGCCAGTGGGGGGTGGGGGGTGGCACGTGCCCCCCCCCCCCCAATGATCTGATCTAAATACCTAATTTCGATTGGATCATTGGGGTTTATTAGTAATAAATCGGCATTTTGCGACCCCCACTGCCACTGTGTAGCATATTACTACGTGCCAGGGACTCTATAAGATGAAAGGGCAATAGTCTGAGTCCATAATTGGCAATAAGTAACGGCAAAGCAGTTATAAGTGACTCACAGAATTGTGCGCAGTTGCGTCTACAGTACACGACTTCCCTGAAGGCATCGACACCTTCAGCGAGCGCGATGCCGATCACACAACGCGGTTTCAATTCGACCCTCGATCGATGGCCGCGCCATCGCCACACACGTGTCGAATAAAAAGCAAGGGACAAGTTCTTACTTACTAACAACTCCTTACTTACTAACAACTCCTTACTTACTAACAACTCCTTACTTACTAACAACTCCTTACTTACTTACAACTCCTTTCATTTTTCATTGCTGGAGGGGTTGCCCCCCCCCCCTACCTGAAAATCTTGGCTCCGCCATTGGTTCAGACCATCCTGCGCCAACCACTGTGTACCACAGCTCCATCCAATGTGATAACAACAAGCTTGGTCTGCCTGGGTTAGTGACCCAGTAAAAATGTTTTCACATGCTGCACACCACATCAGTATACTTCTCGCTTTCGTTGCGGCTACTCGTCACGTGACAGCCTCCGCCAGTCTGCCATCGACCTCTGAAATATTCGGTGAGATATAAATCCCTGACCACAATCTGCGGTGATTGTTGTGTTTTCCGCCATTTTAAACGATAAACAACTTTTTTTTTTACGTAAGAGGCCCACTGAGCTATATAGCTGTTTTTCAGAAGCGACCTGGCCATAAATGATTACCCAACGAGGTGGCTTATCGTCACGTGGAAATGTTATAGCAGCCAAGTAAGCTAAACGCATGTTCATTCTAAATGTGGAGGGAAAAACTGCAGGACCCGGAGAAATACGCACGTGACCACCGGGAAAGAAAACATGCAAACTTTAAATATACGGGCGTCAGGATCGGGATCGAACTCGCGACCTCCTGCATACCAGGCATATTCATGGAGTTCTGTAATCGGAGATTAATCTGTCACTGAAAGTGTTTTCCCTGTTTCCGCTCGACCGAAGCAGGTGACACGTGACTTGTACCTCAGAGCCTACCCAGAGAAGGCGCGGCTGAAATGAACCCCTAGCTGTGATTATTATAAACGCTGCTCTCGCGAAAGAAATCTTGGCGCGGTGAAGTATGGAAAAGTGATACCGCCAGGCACGACGCGGAGCTGAGAGCGGCGCAGGCGGGAGGCACCGCGGCGGCGGCGCCGGTGAAGCGGAAACCACCACCTCGGCCTCCCCTGCCCACCCAGCAGTTTGGGATCTCGCTGGCCGTGTGAGCTCGCATGCGCACACGCGCACACACACACACACGCGCGCTGCGATTTGTGAGTTAACAGCGAGTCTTACGATCGCAAGACACCGGTAAAAATCGCACGAGCTAGACCAGGGGTCGGCAACCGGCGGCTCTTTACGGACCGCTTCGTGACGTTATTTATTTATGTTTTCACATGCATTGCAGCTCTTGAAATATTGAGTTACGTACCGAATTCGAAAAAAAATGCCTCTTGTTATTCTGGTTGCCGACCCCTGTGCTAGATGGAATCCATGTTTTTGTGCGTGTTGTCTTTTTTTAAATATGGTGACGGCATTTGCGGGGGAGAGGCCCTTCATCCAGAAGTGGAGAGGCCGCGGCTGACGCTGACGCGTTGCATTTCATGGATTTACGTGATGCCTACAGACACGAGTGGCTGATGTGTTCATGACAGTGTTACTAAAAAACGTTCTTGAAATGAATCGCGGTCCCGAATTGAGGCAATCCTTCGAATCGCCGTGGGGGTAAATCGTTGTATCTCTGCACACCTCATATTTGTTTCCTGATAACTTCGGGCTCTTTGTCAAGCCACTGCTGGATGAAGACCGCCCCACACCATGTCGGTGATGGGGGCGTTGTTTGACCATGCGCTATGAGAATATCACAGCGCTTCCCACTAAAATGATCTTCAGTCGACCTTTGTTTCACACAGTAGACGGCAAGCACGATCAAAGCCGATACGTTTTTTTTATTCTCACCGCTGAAATTTATGGAAAACGGGCCAAAACAAATTTCACGCGGTGGAATGTTTGAATGTTTAAACCACAGTCGTCGGTGACTGAGGCTGAGACCATCAACTCTCACTCCACTTGAGAATCCAGGTTAATCACAGGCAGCTGAACACCTAGATTGGAAGCCAGGATCTCCAGTCGTGCCTGCTTTGACCTGATTAGCGCCCCCCTAAGTCATGGGAATGTTCTGTTTACTCTTTGAGTCATTGTGTGTGCTCGTCTTCAACGTTATTGTGTACCAACTTAATGCCCTGAATGTCAATATGTGCCTGCTAAGAGGATCTGATGCACGTGCTTAACGTAAAGACTCAGCCCTCAAATTGTTCGCTCGCGCCACTGCTGCAAGATGGAGCCTCCACTGAAGGGAGCTCTTGAGACCCCCCTCCGGAGGGCGAATTTGGCCTACTCTTCCCAAAGTTGGGCAGATTTCTTGGAAGAGGTGGGAGTACGCACGCTTTACCTGACCGCCACGTGACCTGCAGATCAATTTCTCACTATGGTCTACCCATTTATCTACTGCTGGGTGGATGGGGATTTAAGAAACTTGCTCCGTTGTTTAAGCCGCCGCACCGGGAGACCGATCTGGCGGCACTGTTGATGGTGTCTGTGTGTTTACTGGATCACTGGGGGGGGGGGTGGGGGGGGTGACCTGGACACCCACACACTGCAGCCCGAGCAGCACGTGACTACATTCCTTAGGCAAGAGCTCACGGGTGAGGGAGGGGGCACGTGGATCAAAACAGATAGCCCACACACACCCCGTGGGCTGCGTTGTTCCAGTCGTAAAACGTGACAGGACGGTTACAGGTACAGCCCCACTTTGGGTCCTCCGCTGGCAGTGCAGATGGAATGGAGGAGATTGTCAGCTCGCCACCCGGCGTGTCCCAGTTGAGCCTCTCAGAAATTTTGGTCGCTTCAGCAAGGAGAGAACTGAGAGAAAACACCACCACTGTTAACTAAACAAATTTTTTTTTATTTTAGCAGGTAAGGCCTACTGAGCTATATGGCTCTTTTTCAGAAGCGACCTGGCCACAAATGATAGCTCAACGAAGTGGCGGGATGGAATCCACGACCTCCTGCATAGCAGGCGAGGGAGTAAAATAATAGTTTCATGACGGCAGTGGCGTCCGTTAAGTGGTGCGGTGTGCAGTGCCCCAACAAACCGGTCGGGGTAGAGCCCAGTGGACCGTGGGGAGTGTGTCCCAGCAGAGATTACCCCTGGCCGTGGGGGGGGGGGGTGAGCTGTGCTCCATTTGACAAGTCGCCGTCTTAAAAGGGGGCCACATCGCAGCGTGGAGCCAACATCATCCACCCCCCCGCCCCGCTATGTCCGTGCGGAGCGCATCAGTGGCATCCTTCCAACGATTCCCGCTTGGGGCGGCAAAACTCGTTGGCGTTAGTCGCGTCCCGCACGCTGGCGGCTGATTTACTTTGTTACAAACTGTACGAACGAATGCTCCACTCGTGGCTTGTACGCTGTATTCCGTATTTTTTTTTACTTCGAGTAGGGCCCCGTAGTTTATTTATTTGGAGTGCTCCTGCCAATAACATCCGGTAATCCATCAGCTTTTGTCTCATAAGCCTGGCTCTGCTGATGAGACCCAGACGGTCACAAACCAGTCCTGAGTTTGCTCGCTTAAACGAATGCTGCCAGATAATGTTGGTCCGGAAAGCCGGGAGGCCGACGGACAATCCGTGGAGACACAGCGTGGAGTTCTGTTTATATTTGCTGTTAAACTAAATAGGAATTTCCCTACGAATAGGTGGTCAAGTGATTCGGGGCTCAGAGCAGAGAGCCGGCACCGCTGAGACTTGGGTTCTAATGTTGGGATTTCAGCCACCCATGAAAAAACTTGGTTCTCAGGTGCAGTGAGTTGACGGTGTTCGCCCGTTCACCAATTTATTCACAAAAAACACCCATAACACTAAATTCGATGTTTTTTCCACGTAATTTTTTGTGAAGATTTCTATGACCGTCAACATTACTCCCAGTGGTTTATTTGCAATGCACGGAACTTCTTGAATGTTGAACAGGGCGTGTGGGGAAGTGGGGTGCGCGGATGAAGGGACCTCGGAACGAGTTCCGTGTCGTCCTCCTGCCACAGGGCAATCGACGAGTGTTCCAAATGGATCGTCTGCGTGATGAGGTGACGCCGATGATGTTAAATGTCACCGTCTCGCTTGCAGGCTCAAAGAGAAGAACAATGGTGAGGACCTTCCCCTTGTCATGAGAGAGACGGTGGCCTACTTGAAAGAAAATGGTGACGACGCTTTGTATTATTTTTTCTCTTTCCAATCATCCGAATAAATTAAACAGTTTTAAAGGCAAAGCATTTAATCCACACCGTAATCCTCTCCTCCGTCCCTCCAGGCTTGAAGACGGAGGGTTTGTTTCAACGCTCCGTGAACGTTCAGCTCATTAAAGAAGTTCAGCAGAAGTACAACCTCGGTACGACGCTCAACACTTGACTCCCCGATAAACTCTTCTGTCTTCGTTCAATTTCGATCATTTGTACGAAGGACGATGTAACCAAAAATCAGCCCTTTACGATGTAGATAAATCACCCAAAAGTGTGGGAGAGTAGGCCAAAACACCCTTTAGAGGGGCTGCCCAGAGCTCGCTCGAGTGGGGGGAGACCCTTCTGCCAGCAGTGGTGTGAGCAAGCAGCCGCAGGGCTGCGCCTTTACCCTTAAATACCAAATATTTTGTTGTTGGAAACTGTGATACCATGTTCACACGCAACTACCTACATTTGTCCTTCTTAATTGTGTCGGCGCCACGGGACTTGGTTTGTACTTGCACAGGGTTGCTACGTATCGGGCAAGAATGATTAAATATATAAGTAAAACACGTTAAGCTCGGTCAGAATCGTGGTAGTTTTCAAAATGCACCGGTGAAACCACGATGGCCTCTCACTGCGGCGTTTCGGCCTGCGATTTAAAATCCTTTTTTTTATCGTACGTATGTTGAAACTTCTTCCGCACCGCACGTAGTCAACCGTGCTAATCGGAAGTGCGCTTTAAACTCGCGTCGGACAGCTGGCCACGTCCGAGGCCGGTCTACGCGCGCACGCGATATAAGGAGCCGTCCGTTGTTAATCGTCTCAGGTGTCCCGTCGATGCTCCACTCGCACGCCTCCCCACCCCCCCCCCCCTCGCAGGCAAGCCCGTGCGCTTCGATGAGTACAACAAGGAGGACGTTCGCGTGGCCGCTGTCACCCTCAAGACGTTCCTGCGCGAGCTGCCCGAGCCGCTGCTCACCCTACAGCTCTACCACAAGATCCTCGCGCTGCACCGTGAGGAGTCCCCCGTTCACTTTGTCTACCCCCCCCCCCCCCTTCTCTTTCTGTCCCTTCCAACGCACGCTCGGGGGGAGGGAGCGGGAGGTTGCAGCGGGGGGAGCGGGGAGGGGCAGCGTTGATGCCGGCACTTTGGGAGGAGGCCCCAGGCAGCGATTTGCTCTTGGGCTGCGACACATGACGACAAACGTTACGTGCCGGAGACAAGCGACGCTAATTAAGTGTACCACAGTTTTGTGTGAAGTCATTGAGTTAATGGACTAACCATAATTATTTGTCATAGTCGTTTTGGAATGATGAGCTTCATTTTTTTAAATAAGGATCTCAATTCGAGACGACGTTCATTAATTTAGTACCTCTTGAGCTACTTGGGCCCCTAAGTGTTTGTTTGTTCATGCCTCGCGCTGCCACAACCATGGGGGGATGAGATTGATGTCGCAAACTGGGCAATCTGGCCGCGAGATTACGGCGACTTTTTTTGGGCTTCCCGTGCAACAAAATTTTGCTTGCAACAAATCCAGCGACTTTCACAGCCGAGGGTAACTTGCAGCTTTTGGAGAGATCCCAGGTGTGTGTGTGTGTGTTGAGGATCCCGTATCAAGTTTACTCTGCGTAACACCTAAGCACATTGTAACATCGATGATGACCTTTGCAGGTCTTGTCTAGCGACGTTTGCCGACTCAGCTTCGTCTGCCGACTTTTCCCGCTTTTAAGGCGTTGGCAACCCGAAGCTCGCGTGTGTCATCAAACAGCCGCTGCGTCGCTTCGCTTTGGCGTTAGAATGTGTAATCAATTCACGGGGACGCGAAAACTCGCAGTGCATGCACGGTGAACGCGGGATCGAGTTGCGTCAGACCTCCCCTACAGGTGGGACGCCGCACTGGGTAAGCGATGGATGGCCGGCCAGCCGAGTGGCTCGGACGAACTCGGGACTCTTTGCGAGTGCAAAATCGGAGCGATTGGCCGTACAAGGGGCGCACGAAAAAAATAAAATCGAACGAGCAGATAATTATAAATTCCCGGCACCTGGGGAACACTTGCAACTTAACATCGATGCTGACGCTCGCGATACTTGCGTCGAATCACATTTGAAGAGTCGATGAGTTTGGATTCATACGTTACAGCGATAATACATGTGGCATTGTACGTCTGAAATAAAGGAGCTGTCCATAAGCCGTTTTTATTTGTAGAACTGGAAAGACAGCCAGAGGATCTAAATTCATGACAAAAATTGAAGTGTGGTCAAACATCCCCTGTGACCAACATTGAATGGGCAGGCCTTCGTCTAGCAGTGGATTGACATCATCGTTATCGTGGCGAGATTTTAACTCCCTGACCTGGTATACAGGAGGTTGTGGGTTCGATCCCGATCCTTAACGCCTACTGTAAATTTAAAAGTCCGTGTGTTCTCCCTGTGGTCGCGTGGATTTGTTTCCGGGTCCTCCGATATTTCTCCTGTACAAATAGAAACGTGCGTTTATGAGTATTTGGCTGCTGTAAATGTCCACATGATAGTAAGCCACTTCGTTGAGCTATCAATTGTGGCCAGGTGGCTTCTGAAGAAGAGCTACATAGCTCAGTGGGCCTTGTTTGGTAACAGAAAAATAGTTTTTAATCATCATCAGCATCATGAGCCTGTAGAGACGTATGCCCGGACAAAGGGCTCCTCCCCACGATGACACAACTCCGAGTCCTCTCGTATCCGAGTCACTCTTGTGTAGTTCCTCCTCTCGTCTCCATCTCGTGAAATGTATGCCTCTGCACCCATACCCAATTTCTGGTCTCAGAAAACCCGCACAGCGTGGGGCGGCCGTCATCCAGTCGTAGATTGACAGAGAGGGGGCTGTACACATTCACGGGCGTTAACACTTCATTTTTCTCATTGCCAGGGGTAGAGACGAGTCTGCGCATCACGAGGATAAAGGAGATGCTGCAGACGATACCTGCGCTGAACTACAACGTTCTGAAATTCCTCATGTGCTTCCTCAACACGGTAAGGGACCCTCCTCCACCACAGCTCCTGCGCCAAAGCCTTCTTGAACTCTGAACATTTATTGGTAATAATGCAATGCACAAATTCGGCCAAAGCTGGAAATCCTTCTGCTGTTCATATCTGGGGTGGAGCACCCAGCACCTGCCTCGCACTACTTGATCTCATTCAACGTAAAGCAGTTGGGGTTTATTAACCCTTTCTCGTTCCGAGATGTCTGCAAGTTGCAGGGTGGGTATCCCGTTCACCGGTGAACCTCGGAACACGCAAGCGCTTAGCATTAATTTTATTTCCAGAGGCGTAGGACCGTTATTTTTAAAGAAATTGTACTCACCGCAGAGGACCGTAGTGACACGACCACACACTACGATAGCTGGTGCCAAACTGTACAACACGCCCTCCGGCATGGCCTTGTGGAAGCCTCGGTCCATCTTCCGACCTGAAGACGTCCCGATAAAGTTAGTTAACTTTTTCTTAGATTCCATTCCGATGACGTACATCTAAACGGAATCTGAAGAACTAATGACGTACACATACGTCATCGGAATGGGAAAGGGTTAATAATCTAGCGCTCACCGATTCACTCCGGCCTCTCGCTCGCTCACCGGCCATCTCCTTACGTTCGCTGTGGCCGGGAATCTTAACTCGTGTCACCGAATTCACGGTGCTGTGTGCGAAGCAGCGTGCCACCGGCCCAGCGGAAAATCTGGCGCCGGCGAAACCTGGCTCGGTTTTGGGGTCTTCTTTTGCATCGCTTGGCAGGCCTGGTCTCTGAGGGCGAGTCTTCGTACCGTACACGCCAAGGCTCTTCACACGGTTTGATTGTGCGATCGACACCACCAGGAATAAACACAACAAAGGGGCCCCCTCACCGCCTCTCCGAGCCAGTCCGCGTTACGAAACGCAGGGCTCAAAATAGCAGCCGCCGCCCCCGTCGTCGTTAACGGTCCCCGCATTATAATAAAAAAAAGTATTTATTGTTTGGTTTTAAGAAGCTAAGAAAATTCTGCCAATGTCTCTCTCTTGCTTTGATCGATCATTGAGGAAGTGCGCCGTTTATTTGCGGATCAAAGTGAAGTTTACGGGGAAAAAGTCGGAGTTTGTTTCCAAGGTGGCTGTCGAGTGTGCGGGCGGTGCAAACTGCCGTACGGAGGCCCACGGACCAGAGGGCCCCAGGCACCGGGCTACTCGGAGGGAAAGGGGGGGGGGATTATGATGGAGGGGGGGGATTACGACGGGGGGGGGGGGTCGTTTCATTCTTGACACCGGGACCCAGGACAACCACGCTACGCCACAGTGCAAGGTCCAGTGCTCAAAACATATTCTTACATCCCCGATCCCGTTGGTAGAAATTCCCACATTTCTACGACGGTATACATGTACGTTGAACTTCTTCCGCCGCCACCGTACGTGGTGCGGGGGAAGGACAACACACCAAAACACAAAAAAGCAGTTCTAAAGAAAGAAAGAAAGAAATGACTGGGAGCAAATTTATCCACATTCACACCATCGTTAACTTTCCACAATGCGGTACTTATTTGGTCCACCGTGGCGAGACGAATGGCCGAGTCGGTTCGCTGCGTTTCCGGCCGAAGGGTTAAGAAGCCTACGTCTCTACGGCAGGTGCTGGACGAGAGCATCCACAACAAGACGAGCGCACGGAACCTGGGCTTCGTGTTCGGCCCCAACCTCGTGTGGCCGCGCGACGGGGGCCACTCGCTGGACCGAGCGCTGCCGATCATCGCCTTCGCCGAGCTCCTCTTCGAGTTCCACGGGTGCATCTTCTCGCCGCCGGCGGCGGCGGCAGAGAAGAAGCAGGAGGAGGGAGAGCTGCCTTCGGGCAGCCTCGGCAAGTCCTGACGCGGCCTTGCGGGCTGCTGCGCGTAGGCCCTGAACCAAACTGTGACGTTTAAAATGCATGCATGTACGGGGCATAGTTACAACGCAACATTGGGGTGCAAGATCGGCGTCGTCATCGTTGTCGTCGCCATCACCGTCGGCCACGCTAGACCCACCGCGGCATGAAGTCCTCCCCAAGTCGCCACCGTCCATCACGGTCCCGTCAAGCATCAATCCACGATACATCAATCCGCCCCAACACCGACATGCCCATGGTGGATGTCCTCTTGGGTGCTTTCTCCTCCTTTGGTCGCCACTCCGTAGCTATCGTCGTCCACTTGCCATCCTCATGCGATGCCCAAGCCCACCGTCGACATGCGACCGCGGCTCAAGACGCTGCACAGAAACGGAGCGCTTGTTTACGTTCATCGTGGACGCACACCAGGCATCGTGGGTGGAACTGCTTTCAACATTCGTCGCAATTCTACGAGTTATCGCAACTCGGGGTCACGATTTTTATTTTATTTTATTTCAGGGAGCGGACGTGCCTCTTGTGGTGGCAGGGGCTACGTGATAGCTTTTACAATACGTACCGCGTACATGGGTAAAAAAATATCAGTAATTGTTTTTTTCCCCAAACTCGCGCACGTATAAGTTGTTTCCTCTAGAACAGTGGGGTCCACAAACCTTTTCGACTTGAGATCATCCCCTTTTTTTAGTTTGACCACATTGTGGGGGGCGATGGGGGGAGGGGGGCGGTCACGGGCAGTATTATCATCGTGTTCACTCGCCATGGTCAAGCAATCCATCGCAATAATTATATCGGCTGCTTTATTTCATTATTAAAAAAAACCACGTGCCTTGCTGTTTTGAGTGGCAACCTCCCTCTAAATGGCAACGGGAGGACACTGCCCTGGGGTGATGCGGCGGCGGTGGTGGTTATGGTCGCAACCCACAGTTGCAGAAATGCCGCTGCGTAAATTGTTTGCTACTCCCTGCAGCTCCAGATAAGCCCCCCCCCCCGCCGGCCCTCCTACTATTCGACCTTTTGACCTCAACCATGTTACCAGCTCACGCGACCGATGATACCCTCCCGGCTTGAGGCTCGCTAGGCCGAGCACAAGGTGGACTTAACCCAGTGTGGAGTGCTGGCATCGTCGCGCTGGGGTAAAATACGGCATCTTAAAATGCCGTTGTACACACAAGGACGGAACGCGCGTGGATAAAGAAGCCAATGCATTACCACCACGTGAGGAGTTTTTTTTCACAGCGGTAATGCTTTGGCCGTGTGACGCTAGCGATGGGTTCACGGGATGCGCCGCGTGTTGTTCTGCACGGTGAGTCCGACATTTCTCGCCGCGTACTGTGAGCTTCAGGAACGGAGAATTGCATGGTGCAACCCGAAAACACGACAGTTCTGCACTGCAGAGACTTTTTTTGTCAGTGCAGTGGCAATTTTAAACGCGTGAACTTGCGTTACTGCAAAGTCGACATTTTTTCCTTCGTCCATGCCGGCTTCCACTGATCACTAAGCTATTGACGGCGTGGACTAGAAAAACGAGTTTTGAACCGAAGTACAAAACCTTATTTTCTTCCTTTTTTGTTTTGTATTGCTCGTATTATTGCTTAGTTTTAGTGCTGGCCATGCTGATGACAATGATGTGAGAATGCACACTTGAGTGATTTTTTTTTTTTACACGCCGATTTAAAAAAATATTTTACATTCACAAAAGGCCGTACATTTGTTGTTTGACACGTACAATTTGTGCACACCGCGACGTTTAAGGCCGTTCTCTGCAGACGTGACACGTCATCAGATGGTCGAGCGGCGTAATCCGCTGCAGAGTGGTGGTGGGGCAAATTCACCGCACGCCAAGAACCAGACTGGAACGTCACTACGCTTGCCACAACACCATGACTTGTTTCACTTTTGTTCCGTGCGCGGTCATGGACAGCGGGGGGGGGGGGGTTTGGGTTGCTTCCAATTTACGAAAAGAAATGCAGGCCCTCGTGCCCCCGGGGCCGCTCGCGATTGGCATCGCGATTGTAAAAATCACCGAAACCTGGAGCGGCAGCGGCCCTGCCTCTGTTTGGCATGCGCGGTCGAGCATTGCCGCCGTCGCCGCCTGCCATAGACGGATTGCGCTTTTGCCTTTGTTTTTGCCCGAGCCGTGTGGGTGCCGTGTGGATGCACAGCAACCATCAATAAACGTGCAATAACTGAAGCGGAGGGGGGGGGCAGGGAAGGGGGCCGGTGAGGGAAACACGCCCAACAATTTTCTCAATTCATATTCGGGTATGTTGAGTGAATGTTTAGTGAAACGTGACAAGGTAACTCGGTGCAAGAAAATAAATAAAAAATTTAAAATAAATAGTTGCCCTCCCCCCCCTCCCCTACACTGCATTTGCAAACATGCCAGAGACTGTTTTTGTTGAGAGGGATTGGAAGAGCCACTTTAAATTAGCGGTCGCCTCTGCTGCTGCTCCGCGTTTGTGTAAACATGCACGCGTTCAATAAAAAAATGCATGTACGTGAACGTCAACAAGGAAGGCCTTGCTTTTGCAATTTAAAATGTCATGCCACGAATACGGTAGCTTAAATTGCACCCCCCCCCCGCCCGATATCATTCGGCAGACGGCTATAAAATAGCAATAATTTATGGGCACTTTGTCAATACAGGTACGTGAACACAAATTGTGCCACCGCTCCCCCAAAAGTTTACGACGACAAAATAATAATTGGAGCGTGATTTCCATCCATTCTCGATCCACTGCTGTATGAACGGCCTCTGCACATCGTGTTGGTCAACGGGGGGTGGGGGGTTTGGACATTTTTTACCACACTGGTTTGTGCGGATTGTACTCTGCCTGTATTTCCCGCTATGTACATACACTGCAAATTCTACGTGAAATCAATGATTGCTTTGATATAATAAGTTATCGATTACATTTATCTTAGAAGCAATGCATCATTGCATAAGTACAATAATCACACTCACAATGAGCATGCATCATCTTACACAGACTTAACGGTTATGAGGGCATCAAGAAAATAACTATTTTACCACGCTTTAAAGCAAAGCAACCTTTCTTTTTACCAGGTAAGATATACTGAGCTGTATAGATCTTTCGGTAGGGACCTGGCCACAAATGATAGCTCAACGAAGTGGCTTATCACGTGGAAATTGATCGCAGCCAAACACTCTAAACGCGTGACGTTGATTCTAAACGAGGGAATAACTAGAGTACCCGGAGAAAGATCTCCGTGACCACGGGGAGAGAGACATGCGAACTCGCAAATATACATGCCTCAGGATCGGGAGCGAACCCACGACCTCCTGTATACCAAGCATTGTGCAAAAGACAGACTTCATGGTTATGAGGGCATCATTAGTCAATATTTTACCATGCTTAAAAGACCTTCCTGACGATCCACAGAAGGCATAATAGGGGTTTTTTGGGGTTAGATCACGTAAATAGGTCGTGAAACCCACCACCACCTGGCAGCAAATTAGTAGGGTTTGTCAAGTAAACAAAGCATTTCAAGCTTTCGTGACTGCAAAGAATCATCGTCTTTGGTTCTTTCGGTAAAGTCACGTAGAATAAAATAATAAAATAAAATAAGACAATAAAATTATCACGACGTTGCGAATCTTAGCGGCGTTATTTGAAGCTCTGTCGTCCCGACAGTTCTGTTCTTTCACCTGAAGAAGGCTGCTTGTGTTGTGGCCGAAACGTCGTGAGAATTTTATTGTCCTATTTTATTATTTTATTCTCATTCTACGTGACTTTACCGAAAGAACCAAAGAAGATTAACAAAGCATGCCAATTCGTTACGTCTCGTAGAAATGTTTTGTTTACGTGACAAGCCTTACCAATTAGGCTGTGTTGGGTGGTGGCGGGTTTAACAACACATTTATATTTGCACGATCTAACCCAAAAAGAAACCCCTTATGGATATTAGACACAGACTTATGAGGGCAACGCGAGAGTAAATATACTTTTAACCACGCTTTTTAACAAACAAAAAAACCTTCCCGACGACCGGTTCGCAACACAAGGCAAGTTGCTGCTTGCCGATCCCGGGGGCTTGGCAAGCGCCTCGCTGACAGCCCCCTGCCAGCCGTAAATCTCCTGCCAGGGCTCTCTCTCTCTCTGAGCACTGCAGCCTTTTGTCGCAGTGAATTTCAGGGAGGGAGCCCACCGCTGCAAGTAAAACATTTTGGAACCAAACCCAAGCACAATGAGATGGCACGCGCAGGTGACTGCATGTGGCTGCTTCCCCCCCCACTCTCAACGGCGAGCTCCTGCCCACGTCAATACGCGTCAACGCCGCTTGCTATTTCCTGGAATCCAGTACCGTAGGTAATGCAATGAAAGTGGTCTGTGTCCTAAAAAAAGTATTTTTACTTAGTGTTATTTATTTGACATTAACCCCTCCCCCTCTCATCCCCTTCTAGTGCTCGCACTTTATTGCATCACAAGACATCACATTTACCCCCTCTAAGAAAGACCGAAACAGGAGGATTTATCCACAATTATGGTTGTTGCCTGATGCAGGTTGTAGTTACGAGAAAAGAGTCACAGGACTCGAACTGTAAATATGGGTTTAGTCTCCAACACAACCAGTGTGTACTGAACTAGTCACTAATTGGCTGTTTTGGGTAGTGGGGGCTTAATGACACATTTATATTTACGCGATCTAACCCAAAAAAAAAACCTGCATTATAGATATTGCTCGCGAAAGTCCACGTGTTAAACTGACATTTACGTGATCTAACCCAACGCACACAAAAAAAAACTTCGTGGACATTCATGGATATTTTTGTGTGTCATCACTTGGGCGGGTTGAGGAACACGTTGCCTCTCGCTCAAGAGCTCGCCAAGTCGGAGGGGATGCAACGATGATCACTTCGCTTGAAATCAACCATTGCGCTCGCAATGGGTGCGTCCAACGATGATGATGAGACTGCTTATGTGTTTAAAAAAATAAAATTCCATTACTTTAACGAGGATGCAAATGACCAATCGAATGCCGTCGTGGTAGGGCGATTGGGTCAAACGCGTACTGCAAAGCAATGGTGGCAAAGCAGAACCAGCGTGTCTATAGATAGGTTTAAAACAAAAACTCGCATTCATCTTAAGGGCAGTTGCCTGAAACATCACCTTTTATGTATTTTTTTTTTACATTTAAGGAAATGTTATTTTGTCGAGTTGTGTATCTGGGCTTTCTCACCACCAGTCAAGGCAGCATCACCAAATAGTCTGCATGGTTCACCTTCCGTTGCTACCATCTGATCACATCATGCGAACCCCAGGCTCTTGCGTATGAAGTGATTTTTTTTCTCCAGTTGGCACAATATTCTTTAGTAGTTTACCGATTTTTCTATTGCCATTAGTGGACTCGCTATTCAATTGTACGACACAACACTAAATGTTTTTGTTAACGAAATGCCATCGTTTAAATTAAGGACGTCATTTCGCACTGCTTCAGGCCTCCCCCAGTCGGTTGAGGGTGTTGTTTGACCATACTTCACACTTGTTAGTGTGGGTTTGAGACAGATATCACTTGCCGCAGATGTTCGCCGTGGCTGGGAATTGAACTCGGGTTGCCAGGTTTGTCGTGCAGTATGCTTCCCACCGCGCCATTGCTCCACTAAATACGAGTAGAATTCCTTACACGGTACATTCGTACGCGTAAAAGTTCTCCACGTTGACACTTACGGGTCTGTGTTGGTACCAAAAGGCGACGCACGTAAAAAATGAAAGGCTCATTTGTCGTGCAAGATATTACGGCACTCAAGACGACGAAGGTTCAGAGCAGGTCACGCGTTGTCTTGTGCACAGTAGTCGCCTCCTCCATGGCATCCTCTTCATGGCTGCTCAAGAGCACGGAGCCTTCTCCTGTTTGTAGTCACTTCTGCGCAACAAATATCCATGACATTACACGGGTTCTGAAAACTACAAACGGTGCTGTAAGTCTGGAGCTCTGATAATACTGAAACGGATTTTTGGAAGAAAATTTCCTGTTGTCCTTTACATTCCGAATGAGTCTCCGGATGAGAGGCCGTAACACCGACATTGTAAAAATAATGACACAAGGCAAACTCAGGAACTCTGCGTAAAATGTTATTATTTTGTGATCAAATTTATTAAAGAACAGTGATCTGAATAAATAACATTCTGAATGCAATTTGATCAAAAGGCTCTAGGGATGCGAAGCTAATCAACACCAAGCCTTCCAACTACAGCTGCACATTCACAAAAACATCATGGCTAAAACGCAGCAAAACAAACACATTTTGGCCAGCACTACTCACACTAAACTAAACAAGGCCTGCATGATGGCTCCAGCACTGGGTCAGCACCGCAACTGGTAACAAAGCATTCTTTAAAGAAAAAAAAAAACCCAAAAATTAGCAAATTAATAGTAAACAAAGTGACTCAAGGCAAGCAATTACAAATATACAAATAAAGACAAAGGATTCTCCAACAGTATTTCACCAAACAGCTTTTTTCAACCTAACGCTACTTTCACGAGATAAAAGGCTTGTTTTTGTTTTATAATATAAATACATCTCATTGGAACTTGGTTGGAATGAGTACAAATTTAATTACATTTAAAGACTGCGACGCAGTATTTTCTTCCTTATTAACAAAAGAAAAACCAATATATGTTTTTAATTATAAGATAAATTCCATTGTCGGAAGCCAGCTAATCCACTGATATGTCTTGTGCATGAAAAAAAGTGGCAGATTTTATTGAAAAAAATGGTAGAGAGAAAAAAAACTTTGATGCTCGAAGCATTATCTCAATCTACGAAACACAACACTAAAATAACATCATACGATCCAACATAGACAAGTCTGCGTATTCACTACATCCAGCCCGTGGCACCATTCCTTCTGCCAAGCAAAGAAGCAAGACTTTTTTTTAATTTCAAAACATTTCGTTCATTTGTCACATGGTTCATCATTGTTGTAATTATTACATTTTATAAATGGCAAAGATTCTCAAAATACACAAAACGTTCCGTTGGGTACATCGGCAAGTTCAAGTGAACATTAAACAGGAAACGTCGCCACCGCAACGGATTATTAAGAGACTCGTCTTGTTCGAGGAGAGCATCATGTACAAAGGATTATTTTTGTACTTTCTACTTACCAACATATCAAACTACCTTTCCTCACGTGGGGTTAAAACTTCCTTGGTTTTGTTTACAAACGTGGGGGGGGGGGGGGTTTGTTGTTTCATTCGTAATTTAACTCCCAAAAAAAAACAAATGACATGCAAAAAAGATGTTGTTTTTTTTGTTAAAGATAAAAAACACTTTCAAAATGTACATCATCCCTCGTCAATATTTTGTTTAGCTCATAAAGACAACACCCCAGCAAATATGGGTAACTGTACTGTTTCTTGTTGCTCGTGTTTCTTTGTGTGAGGTAGAGAAGCTTAGTCGGAAAGGCACTCGCCTGCTTGCATTACCCTCACTGTGTACTGGTACCCAAACACAGTAACAACCCATTACTGTACCGGAAAGTCTATTTAACTAATTGTTTTTTTTGTTAACGTAGCGTATTCCTGCATGCATACAAGTCTTGAGCCCGCACATTTGCCACCGTCTCTTAAAAAAAAAACTGTTCTGCTGATCGCCAAATCAAGAAGCCGACTTTGTGAGCAGCGCTCATCCGATGGTGGGGGCATGTTGTCCCAATTGGTTTATTCACTTGTGGTCGGTACTGCTCATATTTGATAAATACAGCTTTCCCCCCCCCAAAAAAACTGACGAGTATCTACCAACGTATATTTTATTACTACGTCATTCCTCTTTTAAGCTAGTTAATAACCGAGACAATATATTATAAGTATAATTTCAGCCTACACACAAACTGGTGAAGAACAACCCAAGCAGTTGGGCTGTCCAATGTTGGGCCATATTATCCAAGCCCATATATCCCATGTGTCCATCCTACAATCGCTCACTCTCGCTCTATCACACACGCACACACACGCGCGCGCGCACACAACGGTTCCAGACAGAACGGCACAAAGGATTCCCCAAACGATTTTGGGTCAAATGCCACAGAAATTAGAACATGACCTTTCAAACCAAGGCAGATAACTCTAAATCACAAGGCCATAATTTGGCCTCGCCAAACTTCAGGCCACCGAAATGTTCTTTAAAAGGAAAGTAGTAACCTGCAATAATGGACAAATATTCCACGTTCAAGTATAGTTTAAAGAGATGTGTAACGATTGTTTCCCACCCACCACCCACCCATTTTAGAAATAAATACAATTTAAGCTAGTAAGATATTAAAATTGTTATGTCATGAGTAACCAACTAGTAAAGCAATAGGAAAATATCGTTATAAGCCTGAAAATGATAACTGCCTCCCCTTTTATTCATTTAACCTCTCCAAAGTCCACCAATATAAAATTTTACCAATCTTTCTAACAAAAATCTCCAGTGCCATGCTAAAAGATCAGATATGCAATAAACACAATATGTACTTGTACCTGCATGCTTCGTATATAATTATATACAAAAAAGCTTGTCTTTTTTTGCTGGTTTTTTAAAATATTTTTTTTTATATTTTACTAAAACTACTATACAAAACGGCTATGAAGAGACTAACGGTAAGGCTATATACAGTTCGCGTCAAGCACTTCATTAGGGGAACAGAACCCCGGACCAGTTTGGAACTGCCTTTTGAGAGTTCAAATCAACTTGCATAGGGTTGTATTGGGCACGAGCACAGACCACAGTGTTGATTTTCACAAGCCTAAGCCAGCCATCCCCCTGGCCAAGGGCACAACATTTTAAGCCATGGGATTCTCAGGACACACACGGGCAGTAGAAAAACAAAAGTGAAAACAGGCAAATTTACTCAACTTTAGATGGTCACATTTATTTAAAACTAAATAAATATTTGTCACACAAACAAAATAAATTACTAAAAAATGTAAACGAGATGCTTGCATTCTTTAGCGTGTGATTTTATATTTTTCATTTCCAAGATTAAATTTAGTCCGAAAGAAGAGTAACCACGTCTCCCCACTGTTGCAAGAGTGCTGTGGAGGAAGTAATTTTACTCCAAGTAACATTGCCTCCGATCCTGGAGCCTACAATGCGCGTACGTATTGCGACATACTATATTTACCTGGAATAACCATTTGCTTGGTGACGAATAAGCACACTCATGTTTTATTACGCTCGTTTATCCAGCAAAGCCTGACTAAATGACTCGTGTTGACATAAGCAACCAAACACACAACCAGGACCATATGATAGCACGGGTGGTCCCGAGAATCCACATTTTAGTTTTGTGATGCTCCAACGACCCTGGCATAATGTGTAGTGACCCTTCCAGTGGCGACTGCTTCTTTAAACTAAGAGCACCCCGGAATCTTACACCCCGACGCATTCCGTTGTAAAATATATTTTTGCGAGGACCTCGCTTATCCGACCAATTCGTAGATCACTCTCGCAACATTGTCTGGCAGAAGTTGTCCAAGTTTTCACGCAAAAGAGACTGACACAGCTGCATTATTTAGTTCCAGCGCTGCCCGACACAAAATGTGTATATCAAAAAAACTGAAAATAAAAAGACATTATAAACATAAAAAAATGTACATTCATTTTTTTTGTTGTTTTTGTTACCAGCATTATCTGAGAAACGAGTCGCGAAAAAATAAAACCGGCAGAGATGCAGGTAATACCCTCCAACAAGTTACTTAAACGTTTAACTTATGGCATTCTCTCCACTCCACTTACTCCAAATACAACACAAAAGTCATTTCACCGTTTGCCCTTTACTTTGATTAACTAGTAATACATTTTCCTACTTTATGCATTTGCTATTAAAAAATTACTCTATACTTGTTTAGTTTGGCAACTGCTAGGTTTTTGTTTGTTTGTTTGTATTTTTTGGTACCATGTATTAAAAAAGGTGAGCATAAATGCTCTTGTTCTTCTGTGACAGAAGGTTTAACGTGGTTCCTTTAAAGCCTTGAGGCTGCACAAGTGAAGCAGGAAGACTAAGGTAGCATGTTTCGTCTGCCCTTGGCCTAATGCAGTTTCATGACCCATTGAGAAAGGGTTTGATCCTACATTGTGATATCTGCAGCAGTGAAAACAGGATAGAAAATATTTACGATCCACTGTTTTAATTTACATTGTCAACAAGACAGTTGCCGCTGATAGGTCTTATGTCTAAACTGTTAAATACAGATCTATAAGCATTCACCAACAACACTTAACCTTATTTGCCACAAAGAATACAGATGTGTATGAAAAATCTAACAGTTAGAAAAAAGGATTCACACTCAAATGATACTGTTAAATATGCATACAATGTTCCTAATCATTTACTTTATAATCTATTAATGTATACCTTAATATACCAATATAGAGCGTAACTGCATACTACCGTATATAAAAAAATCATACTTGGCAACTTAAAAGGTTTTAGTCAGAAAAGGAGAAACCAGCAAATGCCTGCATTGTTTTTGTATCATTTGCAAAAAAGTTCAGTTTGTGATGCAAAATACCCTTTTCCATACTAAAGCTCAAAGGCGTTACACTTGCACAACATTTTAAGAGAACGTTGCACTCTTGATACTCGAGGAGACGCCGACCTTTATATACTTAGCTCTCAACGTAGCATCCTTTGAGACTTATCGGAGGGAGATTATGTTTATTCCTCACGAGTCGATGCACGCAGCATGCGAGACCGTGTGCGCTTTTACGTACATTGTGCACACAGTCTCCCATTTTGTTCCTTGATCATTGCGTCTCTCGTCGTTGCATTTCGAGCAACATCGTCTCAAAGCGGCAGGCAGCGAGAGACAGAGAGAGAGGAGCCCAGCGTTCAGTGCTTGGCGTGCGGCTGGTGGGGCAACTGGGCCGCAGGCGCCATCGGCGGGTGGATCTGCGCCAGGATTCCGGTGGAGGTCGAAACGGCGACGGAAGTGGCTCGAGCGACGGGAGCTCCCATGGCCGTAAGGTCAGGGGTCAGCGTGGTGATGATGAGAAGAGGGGTGGCAGCGGTCGCGATGACGGGAGATGACGTCGATGCCACGACCTGCAAGGCTTGGGCGGCAGCAGCGGGTGGCTTGGACGGCTTGGCTGGCACGCCGTTAATCAGCTGCACCAGCTTCCGATATCTCTCCATTCCCACCTGCACTTCCTTTTGCTTGGACAGCAGGCTATTGCGTACCTCCATGCACTTCTGCAAAAATAAAAACCCAAAATGCGGGGAAAAATAAGCACCGCGCCGTTTCCCCCCACAAATTGCTGGCAATCATCGTGCCTTAAATGGAGATCGCTTGGTACAACAGCGGGAAGTGTTGTGCTGTGCTCAGAATGTTAAATTATTTCAGGTGCGGGATCGGTTCATGTCTACTTGTGCGAACAAATGTAGTATGAATGCGCTTTTCTGGAGAAAGGCAACTTACACGCGATAAAAGCACACACCGTGACACTATGAGACTGCGTACGGTCTATCAGCAGACAGAGACGTTACCAGAATGGCAGTGCTTAGCATCTTCGCTTTCTGCTCCAGCTGGTCTCTTTCCTGACGCAGCTCATTGCTCCTTTTCTGAAGCTTCCTCTTCTCTTCTTCCTTAGCTGTTTGCAAAACAAAAGTTACAATCGACACATATTTTCAACTCGGCTTACTGAAGGACAGTCAAGCAACCTCCATGACCGAAACGGCGTGACGGAGGTAATTCTTCCAGCCGTGTATTTTACAAAGAGGCACCAAAGACATTTCTACAAATAAGGCAGACACCTGTTGTAATAAAAGAGTAGTGTGCAAGTGATGTTGTGAAATAAAGTCAACACTACTAATTATGAAGTTTGTGAATCTACAACAAACGGACCTTTCGGTTTCACTAAATCACAGCTGCAGGTGGATGGTAAGCGGCACAGTAAAAAAAAATAATTTGCAAAAAAAACACAAGGAAATGAAATGCAGTTCAAACAACAACAACAGCGTGACTAACGAAACAGCACGGCGTATCGAATCTCGACAGCGGCAAATCACCTGCTTTGTGCGCAATGTACGAGTGGACAATGGCCAGGGTTCCCGGCCAGGGCAGCGCGTCCTCCTTCCTCAGCACCTGCTCCTGACACTTGGGGCAGATCCACATGCCCTTGGGGATGGCCTTGAGTGGTGGCTCCAGGCACTCGAGGTGGTAGACGCGTGAGCACGTGTCGCACATTAGCAGCTGACCGCTCCGCTTGCACACGGAGCAGAAGTCCTCGTGGATGTCCCCCTATGGCGGCACAGATGGGGTGGGGTGGAGGGGGGGATTTTCAGTGACGGGGTGAATCGGGCATTGTACCACGTGCCAAAGTGTGTAAGTACCGCGGTGGCGAGATGTTAACTGCCTCGCCTGGTATACAGGAGGTCGTGGGTTCGATCCCGACCCTGACGCCTGTATAGTTGGAGTTTGCATGCTTCTCCCCGTGGTCACATGGATTTTTCTCCGGGTTTCCCTCCATATTTAGAAACATGCATTTAGAGTGTTTTGCAACTATAAATTTCCACACTGATATGCCACTTCGGTGAGCTTTCATTTGAGCTTCATAGCTCAGTGGGCGTTACCTGGTTCAATAAAAAACAGCTCAAAGTTAAGTATTTTGATTTAAAGCTTTCGTGACTGCAGGGATTCATATTCTTGGTTCTTTCGGTAAAGTCACGTAGAAGGGAAACACACCTGATGATGATTGCTTGTGTTGCAGTCGAAACGTCGTGAGAATTTTATTGTTTTATATTTGTATTTTTTTAATATTATTTTTATTGTTTCCCTTCTACGTGACTTTACCAAAAGAACCAAGAATATCAAAGTTAAGTAGTTAAGTATGTATGTTGAACTTCTCTGGCACCGTACGTGGCCAAAAGTGCTAATCGGAGGTGCAGGGGAGGGGCAACAAACTAAACACAAAAAGCAGTTCTAAAGAAATGAGTACTCAAGTGTGGCCCTTCTTCTGTGGGTATTCCGGAGAGTAAGATGTAGGCATGCACCAATGTGCCGATTCAAATTAACACCGGATTATTATAACGTTCACAATACAATGTGGATAAAACGATGTGCTTGAGAATTACTTTATTATAATTTATGTGAATTACGCATATGGAATGCTTTTCTAACATTTACGGCTAATAATGGGGCAAACAGAACTGTAGAATCGAAACAGAATGAGAAAAACAAATGATGAATCCAAGAGCAATAATTCATCTGCACATTTTGTGGACAAATTCAAGTATTTTTTTTTATCATGACCTACATGAGAACTTGAATTAAAATTAGGCCACTTTTCCACCTTATTCAAATTCAAAATTTGACAACGGTAATAATAAAAGGATGGCTAACAACAAGTGTTAAAGGCGAAGGTGTTTCGTGTTATGAAGACGTGCCTGCAGATATTATTCATAATTTACGATTCTTAACCCGGCAGAATCAACCATACATTCACAACGGCAGCCACGCTTACAAACTGTAATCGTGAAACGAAAGAGAGGGAGAAACAAATTCGCATGGTGACCCCAGGGACTCCGAGCCCTCCATTAAAACACATCCGAGAGGGGGGCGGGGGGTCGGTGCAGCGCAGCGGGGAACGTCACGATCTAGAGGCCAGAGAGAGAGGAAAGAGCGGCGGGGCCTTCCCTCGGTCGGGCCAACCCCCCCCACCCCCTCTCGTCTCGTCTCCCTGCGGCGCCGTGCAACCAACGAGCGAAACTCACGTCGGAGACCGTGGCTGGGCTAGCGGCCGGCCCGTCTGACGGGCTGCACGGAGGGGGGGCACCACCCCCCTCCGCCTTGTCCTGCTCCAACGGCGCGGCCGGTTGACTCGGCGACGGCAGGGCCTGCACGGGTGGCCCCACCAGCCCGGCCAATACGCTAGCGTACTTTGGAGGCCGACCTTTCCACGTGGCAGGGGTGGTTGACCGGGGTTGGTGGGGGAGGCAGGGCGGGCGGGGCGGGGATGGGGGGGGGGCAACAGCATAATATTTGTGGGGGGGTTTGTTTGCTTGCATTTTGAACACACCAACAAACATACCTTCCACAAGAATTCCTCATCTGGGCAAGCGTGTAAATGACAGCGAGAAAAGCTTGAGGTTAGAATGTGCTTGAGTGGATGAAGCAGGAAAAAGGCAGTTAGCAGGAACAAATGTTAGTGCATTAGTCAGATTCACGTCAAGAAAGGCTGTTAATGTGAGTGCTACCTCTCAGCGCGATGCTGCTAAATACTCTCCGCGGAGGGTTGAGATATCAGAATGCTTGCTCAGAATTTGCAATGGATTTACAACATTGCTGAGGTTATTAAGACAAATTCCTCTAAATGTAAGAGGCACTTGGGTTTGAATAAGAGTGAATATAATTTTAAATAGCCTTTCTTGGGTAATCTAATTAAAGCATTTTTTTGAAGTTTAAAGAAAAGATACTGCAGAGGGAAGATATCGTAAAATCTAATTATTCAAAATGCAACTGATTTGTGAGAAAACTAGAACAGAACCAGTCAATACTTGAAGATTTTGAACAAATGCCAAAGACCGCACAACACTTATGACAATGTAATAACAGCCTTTTAAAACTCAATTTAACGTGAACATTTTAAAATCTCCTTTTGTACCATGAATGCAACATCCACTTTGTGGCTCATCTTTTAAAATGTGACTAAATCCTCACTTTTTTTTAATACATAACGAATCTATTTCAGGTTTTGGCTGCACATCGCAATCCTTGATAATATAACATCTAGAATGCAACTGTCACTGGACTTGAAAAGACTAAAATACAAAAAGAGAAAAATCAAAAGTGGAAAAAGAGTGTTAAAAACAATACGATCAGTGATACCACTAAGTGTAGAAGTCACTAAGTGCTGCAGTGTAGCATTATGGGTAATGAAATAACTTGTGTAACACTATACATCAATATAAAATGTGTTTTTATCTATCTACTGGCCTTTCACACGAATTAACCAGCCGCATTTACAGAAGCAAAAACAAATGAATAACAGAAATTATGTACTTAAGAAGAAATATACATTCATAAAATTATACATTTACATCTTAACATGTGTATTACTATCATATTTACATTACAATACATTTTTTTCTGATTACAGTAAACATTTGAAAACTAAAACGCACACATTAAAAGGCTGTGCCAAAGTGAAAGAAACGTGGTAATAACAACAACAATTTCTAATCACAGTTTTAATAACGTTAATTAAGTAATGTAGGTTGGAATGTATGACATTTATACAAATGTGATCAAGAAATACCTCTTTTTCTTGTGCCGGTTTGCACAGGATTATTCAGGTAGGTCACCGCACTGCGTTTTCTCTGTAATTAGGACCAAATGCAAAATGCGCAGACATTAACAACCTCTCAAAATTAATACCGCTTTAATGCTATCAAAATAGCATGTGAAAATTTTCATTAATTTAATATACATCGATGCACATCATTAAACATTTAAGTAACAGTATGTATACATCTTAATTTATTAATAAAATCAATGTGACACGTAAATACATATGCACGCTCAATCGCGCACTAAATATTCAACGTGCAACTCTAAAAGGACGCACATAATTTTTACACTCTTCAAACTGCGTATACCGACGGCAATGTACCGCACAGTAAAACATGTTGCTTCTTGCATATACACATGAGATAGTCAAGAATAAGGAAGATAATAAGCTGAAAGGTTCCATGGTTCACAACATTTTTTTTACAGACAAAACAAAACAGGACCCTCTGAAGAAGCCTCCACATCACTGCGGTGAGTGCTGTTAGCAATCACCTATTACAAGCCAGCACAGCACATGATGTGAGTGGTGGGGCTATGGCAACATCCAGCGTTGTGCAGTTTTGCCGAAGGGAGGGGGGCACAGGTGGGGCTTTCAGGTAGCAAGTGACACCGACCTCTGCACAGCGAGGACTTACAACCACAGGAGGTACATGGGATCATAATTCAGCACCGCTAACCAGCACCGCAGACCACGATGCTCGCTCACAAACTCGTGCACGCGCACACACACACAACTGACAAAAGGAAAATAAAAAGGGAACTAGACAATTCCACCCCCCTCCTCCCCCACCCCTCTCGGGAGCTGTTTCTCCCCTTATGAAAGCGGCCGCCGTACCTCTGGCTCGTACATCGCCCCGCTGTAAACGGGGTTTGCCGTTGTGCGCCGTTTCCTCTCCTGGCGTCTGCTCTGGATCTCTGCACAAGACACAAACCGCGCGTTACAATTTTACCACTTACGGGAGGGAAAAAACTAAAAAAAAAACACATAAAAACCGAAAAGAAAAAAATTGCCGCTGTAAGAAAATGCGCCGATGGCCAAAGTGTAAATTCGAATTAATTCCTGCAACTCGCCGTTCCCTGGTGTCTCGTATAAGCACCTAATTTAAACTGTGAGTGAAAAAAAAATCCATAACCAGGCTTTTATCGTTACCTGCTACATGTGCAGTGAATAACATGACAGAATATTCTTTTTTTTCTCCATCCATACCCTTGACAGTTGCTCCATGTTTACACAAATGTAATGTCGTGGAGGTGAGATGTGGCTTTGGAGTGAAGGGGGCTGGAACCTATTTACATTGGCTGCTCCCTTCTGGTGCGAGTTTTAATTACATCTGTTCCCGTGTTTCACAGATAAATAATTTGCCAACGACACGCAGTCCGCGACACCCCGCTCTCCGTTTTTAAAGACCCGAGGTTTATCCCCATTTTATTATTGCACGGCATTACAGAGAAGCCCGCTTTTGCGCTGGTGTCCATAAATTCCTCCACTCCACAAGTGCGCACGATACAACACACACACACACATACTGTACAGGAATTAATGCGTGGTCTGATTCACATGCCTTCCAACTACCAGCACAATATTCTCCCTATACTGCATTGCCAAAATATATTTTCTTGGCATTTCCTTTTGAATTCAATTTGAAGCCAAGAGTCATATATGACACAAATATATCATTTGCGAAGCAAATATGTGCAACTGTCCAAAGACGCTATATTACACGTGTTTTATAAATGCTTCTCAATCCACTGCTAGATGAAGCCCCGCCCCCCCCGTATATTGAGCAGGTCATACTTCACACTGGTCAATGAGGGTTGGTGAAGGAAGGAGAGATGTGGAAGTAAGTATAGTATAATAATGGATTTTCCTGCACTTTATTACACACCTAGAATTAAATTATTTATTTTGATTTAAAGCTTTCGTGACTGCAGTAATTCATATTCTTAGTTCTTTCGGTAAAGTCACGTTGAAGGGAAACAATAAAACAATAAAATATATATAAAATCTAAATTCTCACGACGTTTCGACCATAACACAAACGGTCGTCATCAGGTGTGTCGGTTTGCATAAATTAAATTATTTTTAAACGGTTTGTTTATTTATTAAAACGTTAGCGCCACGGGCAGCGATTTGGCAGTTTATTTAGAAGGACTAGTCCATCTATGTTCTGAAAAATGTATGTATGCTGTCTGAAAGCCACTGTAAGCGTGAACAATCAATTAAGACCTGAAATGGTTTATCAAATCTTTCCAATGATTGCTAAGCCAGAATCCATCTTCTTGGTTGAAATTGTCTCTGTGCTTGTATATGTGGATAGCCCAACGCATAGAGCCCAATGCATATCCGACCAGGAACACATAGGCAGTGAACTCAAGCACGTACACCAAGCTCTTAAGGCTAATGGTTACTCCGACTATACAATCCGCAAAGCTATCACTCAAACCATGAAGAAGGACCCTCTTGAGGAGCCTTTCAAAACCATCACTTTACCCTACATTGCGGGGATCACAAAAAATATCTCCAAAATCTTGAATAAACACAAGATCCAGGTCCGTTTCAACACATTACATAAAATCCGTGATCTGGTTCCGTCTGTAAAAGATGTGATTCCGGACATACAATACCCTGGTGTCTACAAACTAAGTTGCCTCTGTGGTAGTAGTTACATTGGAGAAACCAAACGCCATGTCTCGGACCGCATTCGTGAACACAAAGCAGACCTTAAACACGGTAGGACCAACACCTCGGCCGTGGCAGATCATTGTTATAATTCAGTAGGCTCACATGACATTGACTTTTCCAAGACAGAGGTTCTTTGTAAGCCATCTGGCTACCATGAGAGATTCGTTCATGAGGCTATCCACATATACAAGCACAGAGACAATTTCAACTGAGAAGATGGATTCTGGCTTAGCAATCATTGGAAAGATTTGATAAACCATTTCAGGTCTTAATTGATTGTTCACGCTTACGGTGGCTTTCAGACAGCATACATACATTTTTCGTCTCCCCCCCTCCTCTTTTCAGAACATAGATAGACTAGTCCTTCTAAATAAACTGCCAAATCGCTGCCCGTGGCGCTAACGTTTTAATAAACAAACCGTTTAAAAATAATTTAATTTATGCAAACCGACACACCTGATGACGACCGTTTGTGTTATGGTCGAAACGTCGTGAGAATTTTTGTTTTATATATATTTTATTATTTTATTGTTTCCCTTCAACGTGACTTTCCCGAAAGAACTAAGATTATAAATTATTTATGTTGAACATTTACGACTAATGAGCCAAGAATGTCTGTGTGTCCCACGTATGACGTCTCTTCACGTCGGCCAGCCCCCCTCATTAATAATCATGAGCGGGTGACGTCACTCCACGTGTAGCAACCCCCCCCCCCTCATTAATAATCATGAGCAGGTTGGAAGAGCCATAAGACATAAAGTTAATGTATTATTTTTGTGTATACATTTGATGTACATCTGTCATACATTTGTTGACAGACTGGGCATACTCGACTTGGAATATTCCAACTGTTTACATCCCCCCTTTGGTTAGACGCTCCGTTGGTTGAACCCATGACGTCCCTTCTGGTCTGACAGTATAAACGGGAAGCCAGGAGAAGAGCCAGGCGGGAGAGAGTGGACAGTCTTCGACCGTGTGACAACGTGATACAGTACGTGGACAGGCGAAGATATAACTTTTGAAATCGCTCGTTTTTGTGCAACTAAAAAAATAAAGAAACAGTTTTGATTTAAGACACGTCAAACACGCGTCAGACTTATTGCTCCCACAGGTTAAGACGTAGCTTATTTTTTGGCACATGAAAGCTGCGCCGACACAGGTGACGTCACTCCACATCGAACAGCCCCCCACATTTATAACCATGAAGAGGTGACGTCTTCCAAATGGACACCCCCCCCTTCATTAATATTAATTAGCGGGTGATGTCACTTCACATGGGGGGACGAGGTGCCTCCTCCCCCCTCCTCAGCGTCAACTTACAGCCCTCACTACAAAGGCAGAACCCTCACGTCACGCGATCTCCGTAACGCTATTGAGACATAGAAGTAAAAAGAACGTCATGATGAACAAGGGATTATAACTTTTAAATGAAATAGGTCTGTGTCACCGCAGCTTTACAAATTGCACACGAATTGATGCAATGAATATATCACGTCGCGGTCTGCTTTTCGCTTGAATATTTGAGATTCACTGAAATACACCCGTCCTTGGACGAGCAAAAGGCTCATTAGCTATAATGATCACACAAAGGTCTGAAAGATGAGGTCTTTAAAAAGCACTCTACAGCAGTGTATTTCGGCAATATCATGTCATGTCTGTGGTAGGAATCAAACTATAGTCCCAAAGCAGACTGGGTCAGTGGTGATAGCACTGATCACGAGGCAATCCAACAACCCCTTGGCTGAATTTTGACTTAAAACTTTCGTGACTGCAGGAATTCATATTCTTGGCTCTTTCGGTAAAGTCATGTGAGTAGAATTTTTTAAAATAAAATCGGAATAATAAAATAAAATTAACATTTTTAATAATAAAAAATTAATTGAAAACCAATAAAAGCAGAAAAACCCACGACGTTTCGATCGCAACACAAGCGGCCTTCATCAGGCTGACTCGAGTCTCAGGCATACCGCCCCCATGAGGGCCACAGTTGAGAGCTCGGTAGTAAATGCCATGGCAGATGTATGAAGTTCAATCGATATTTACTCTGCAACTCTTGATAGGCTGATGCTCTAAAAGGAGGGGAGCTCATATTCTCAGAGCCAGCAAACTATGGCAACACATCAACTCAGAGCCGACAAGCACACAATAAACATCACCTGAAAAATTTGAGAAATACTAGATAGTAGCGACAAAACGCAGCTTGATCCATTGTGTGTATTCCAACTCTGGATAGAGCTATTTGGTAATAAATAAATAGCAAGATAGCAGAAGAAACCTCTATGTTCAGAGAGACGTTGGATACTTTTCCCGAAACGAACTCATGTATGCTTTTAATTCATTAAGAAAACCTGCACAATTTAACTTGTCGAAAATCGAAAATGGACGACATGAGCACAATTTTTCACATGTGAAAATTACTAACAACATTGAGGAAATAGCTAATACCTTATTGACATGTGGCAATTGCCTTTTCACTCAACAGAATGACTCTAATAACCTCCCAGCATACCACGGGTCTTTTTGTTGAATATCAGCAAACATAATTTCACAGCAGTTTATAAGGCCACTCACGACCTTCAACAGGGTTAAGGAACAACTCAAGACACGTGGGGAACCAGCAAGAACTATCGGCGAGAAATAACATACCTTCCATTTGCTCATGAGTCACAAGGCCCAAGGATCCAAGGAATGCAACCTTCTGTAAAGGCAAATGGATACGTCCGCGTGGGGTCCGCGCAAGCGGGAATAATGAGCACTTATAACCACTTAAAGATGGCAGCAGCATATAAGGTAGAGCTGGTATGAAAGCCTGCTTTCCTTAATTGTGCAGTTGTTAGTATTAAAACCCGGATCTGTGATGTTTTAATAACAAGGCGATACAAATTATGCATTTATGCACAATTGGTTGGTAGATTATTTATAAGATTTAAAAAAAAAAACAGGCACTCAGAAGGTTACTTTTGGACCTATTTCACAATGGTTAGTAATTTTGTAGAATGTAACGAAGGTTTTACAGAATAATAGGTGAATTAATTCCCAATTCATAATAAAAGAAGTACAGTGTTGGCTCAGGCTATTTTATTATTTCATTTTTAAATAAAATGTGCACGCACATAAATAATAAAATGCCAGCCCTCACTCATATCCTGATGTCTATTTATAAATGTTAAGGATTCATATGCACACAAAAAATTACACATGCAAATTAATATTTTTCAAATTCCATAATTGTAAATGAAGTTTACATATTTCTACGAATGATTAACCAACTGGGGCATGACAATGAATCTTCTCTAAGGATCACTGAATTGTCATTATTTGGGATGACATTTTTTTTGGCACTGTGGGGCAATCATACTTCACACTGGCTGCAGGGAGGGCTTCCACAGCCCAATCACATGCAGCCTTCATAAATCGGAAATAATCGATTCAATACATGCGGAAATCAATGCATGAAGTATAAGAATACATTTTAATCCAATTAATCACCAAACATTCATTCCTCAGAGCCCAAACACAAGTATTATGATTGTTATTGGGATCAAACATCGAAGTGGAATTTATTGCACTTTTTGTACGCAGCATGGACGGGTTGTGCTTTTTCTGTAGGATGTTATTGTTTACGCATGTGATGTTCAGATTTGTGTACAATGAATTTTAGGTGTATCTTGTAATTTTATTGTTTGTTGCGGTTGAACCCAAATCAAGAGCCGAATGGCTCACGTGGTAAATCCTAATAAATGAAACTGAAACTAAGTGAACGTTCAGCACTTGCGCTGTGTCTGTTTCGCATCTACTTTGATACGTGCGCCCCGTGTGCTTTTATACGACTCAAGCTCACTCACCTGTGGGTTTGCCTCCACCTGGGGCCTGGGCGAAAGTATCCGTGTCGACAGGTTTGCTCGGTAGACAGTTTGTGAAGTCTGCACGACAGGACCGTGCGAAAAACAGTTAAAATGACAGTTGCAAGAAACAAGTCTACCATGAACAAAAATAAAACAATTCAAAAACTCTCTCTCACTCTCAATGCGTCCTCTCCTATCAAGATGCTCTATCAAGATGCTCTAAATGCCAACTGCATCGTGGATCAACGTAACATTCACGCTGTCATTCAACTTTAGCTCTAAAAAGGTAAGGGTTCATTTAAATGTTACGACAACATTTAACAACAGAAGAACAACCCCGCAGATTTGCTAGGCACCGACAAGGCCCGCCTGCTAAAAATAAAAACCTGACGTGTCTCCCAATGGCCTAATTCTACCTCCAATTCCACCAAAAACGGCCACGGTGCAAACGGCGTCCGCATCCACGCAGGAATCGATTTGCGTTGGGTTAATCGCCGCACATCCTCTTCCCGCGTACAACCCTTGCACGCTCGCCACCATTTGTTCCTCCGAGCCCACCTGTCTGGCGGTGCCATCCTTGCTCGGCTGCGTGCCCGAAGCCACCACGGTGACGCCGCCCACGGGAGACGAGGACGACGCCGCCGACGCCGCCGCCGCGGCGGCCGACGCCGCCGAGGACGCGGCCGCAGAGGACGACGGCGGCATAGCCGCGGACGACGGGGGGGCGGCGGTGACGGAGGCGGAGGGTGCGGCAGCGAGCGCGGTGGAAGCGGCGAGCGACGCGTGCTGCGTGGGAGGTGGCGAGCGCGGCTTGTACTGCTGCCCGTTGACGATGCGCACGTGCTGCACCCCGCACGCACCCCGCACCGCCAGCAACGCGTGCGCCTTGTGCAGCGGCACCAGCGACGCCTGGGGGCCGCCGCCCTGCACCGGCGACACGGCCGCCGAGTTTGGCTTCGGGCGCACCTGTGCGCAGGAACGAACAAGTCGTTCACGAGCGCTGTTCTCATTGTTGTTTTTTTATTCGTGGGGGGGGGGGGGAAAAAAAACCCCAACTCCATGAGCGGAGCGACGAGTCTTATGCAGTAGTCGTGAGCACGAGCGAAGTTGCCCCGCATAAATAAATTGCACTGTTATTACTGCATAACCAAGTGTGTGTTCTAAATCTATTATTAGTATAGGCTGCAGTGGAGAATGTGGCCACGCAGTGGCTACCTGTGTTAAGGTGGCCGGGTTACGTCCAGTCAGTCTGTGGACCGAGGACAGCTGGGGTACCTTGATAGGAGAGGACGCCAGAGATAGAGCCTGCTGTAAAAGACACACAACAGTGAAAAGATCAAGGCATACCACCAACGCCAATATGGATTTCATTCTGGACCATGAATTAATATCAGTCAGTTAATTTTAACTACTTCAAAGATATCTGACATAAAACATAATTTGAATTGTCTACTTTAAGATCCATTGCTTCAAACTAATTTCATGACGAGACCTCAGGATTGTTTAAGACTACCCAGAATCAATTTACAACTTCTATAATTGTGGGACAACTTTAACAGAATAAGTTGAATCTTACCATGAAAATCACATTAAAATATTGTAAATCATCGAAACATTTTTTTTTTATTAAACTTCATTATTCAGGTTGAAGTTTTACTAACTGAAAGTTCTTTACGATAAATGGGTAAAAAGAAAACTGTTAGAGAAGGTGTGGGAGTTCATACTTCTTGCTTGCACTACACCAAAAATAATTCAGCGTTTAGCCTACGAGAAACCAATTACAGCTTCCGAGTTTCGGGATATGGCTTTGGGACCTTTGCAGCTCTGCCTTACACTCTAAGCAGTAGCCTATGCCCAGAGAGCCTCTTAAAATGCATGTGCCACACAAATGTTATTTCTCGTTGTGACAGAAACCGTGAGATTGGCACAAAACTAGCTGGGAAAAATAACTTTGGTTTGCCGTTCAACTCCTGCATTTCCCAATTGCCCACTGGTTTATACTGCCTAGAGTTACAATGATGATTTGAAATGTGCTCGCTCCATTCTTACACACGCCCAGAGGAACGAGTCAGAGGGAACCCATGCTCCCTCGAGCTTTGAGTGGTGTACACCACCATTGGTGGGCCCTGTAATTAGTTGTGGCAAAGCCACATTCCTGTGGCAGAGATGACCAGGCCTTCCAAAGTGCAAAGCTTCACAGTAAGCAGAGCTAACCAGGTTGCACTCATTTTTTACTGACTCCCAAAGGGATTATTGCCTGTAAACTCTGACTGGAATTTGAACTCACGAGTTTGCAACCATTAGAACAGTACATTACACAGGAAAATAAGCCATTAAAATTAAACTAGCCTTCCACCACACAAAAAAGTCACTGTAGATGAAAATACTGTATTATTAAATAAGTAAACAGGAAACTAGATCAACATTGGCTATAAACCTTAGCTTACCTTAATATTTACGCGTATCTTAGTGTGTCCTTACAAATGCATAATCCTCAGAATTTCAAGTTGATTTATCCAGGACTGCTAGAAGGTGTAACTGGTAAACAAAGAGCCCACCCACCCCATATAGCACTTGAATAGATTGTTAGAGCAAGCGCTGTTCGGGACAGCACACAAGGGCACAAACACCACACCGGATCGCCTTTGTCTCCCCAGTGGAGATATTTACACACCACACCAGGTACTAATTTGAGGCTGAGTCAACCTAGGGGAGGCTCAGGACCAGTTCAGTTAATTATTATCACTGGTGTTGGCCGTTAGCGGGAATCGAACTCAGGTCGCTGGGTTCGTAGTCCAACGTGCTAACCGCTACACTGGTAAACGCACACACACACACAAACTCAACATTACGTGTAATAGTGCACAAATTTATATGCTCATTTCCACTCCCACCCACCCCCGTTTTTATTTGCTACGACATTCATTACCGCTGCTTGTAAGGTATGACCTTTTGTGTGCTAGTTTTGTTCTCCGAAATACCACTGCCTATTTTATCCCAATACAGTTTTATGTAATACATAATAAAATAAACCGTACTGTATAAAAAGATTCCCCAAGCAGTAAAACATGAGGCACATTTAAAACATGCTCCAAGCATATAAACAGTTGTCGAAGCCGCAAGACGGTGATGTGCCCTTCACCCCATTTTATGCGTATTGTGAGATCAGTGTCATGTTACGAGACGAAGATTCCATTCAGATCTGTCGCAGAGCAGTGCAACCCATCTTGTTATACAATGGCTCACGAAAGTGGACATCAAAGAGCCCATTACTTGATTCGACCTCTGGTTCCCACACAGCATGGGGAGAGGACTTTCCCACCCACCCGAATACAAGGCGTAAAGTTCATCACTCTCTGTCAAATAGATATTTAAAATTTTCATGGAAAGGATTTAGTCAAATTAAGTGCGGAGACAAATATAATGTGTGCAATACCCCGGCGTCTACAAACTAATCTGTGTCTGCGGCAGCAGTTACATTGGGGAAACTAAGCGACATGTCTCGGACCGGGTTCGTGAACAAAAGGCAGATCTGAAAGACGGTAGGACCAATACCGCAGCCGTGGCTGATCATTGTCTTAACGCTGTGGGCACCCACGAAATATATTTTTCCAAGACGAAGGTACTCTGCAAACCCACTGGCTATCAGCAAAGATTCGTTCATGAAGCCATCCAGATATATAAACACAGACACAATTTAAACTGAGAAGATGGGTACAAACTGAGCAGTCATTGGAAGGACATTATTAGCCAGGTTAAGTCATAACTGGCTGTGATGTTTAGTAGTTATTTTCGACTCTCTGGTGTTACAAGTTAAATGTCTCACTAACACAGTCACCGTTGCTCGTTTTCCTTGATGTGGCGGTGGCTCTACGATATTACATTGACATGCTAATCTCTCACAATACAATGGCCACCTCCGCAGCTTCGTCGTGGAGGTTGCCCAGCTCTCTAACACTGACATGCAAATTTCTTCACTAGCCCCGCCCACTTCGCTTATGACCCTTGGGCTACACCAAACTCAAACCTTTGTAACATCCTGCCTCAGCAGCTCTCTCGCTATTTTTTCACCTGATGACGATTGCTTGCATTGCGATCAAAACGTGATCTTTTTATTATTGTTTCTATCTACGTGGCTTTACCGAAAGACCCAAAGAATATGAATATAAATGTAATGTATTTTTTTGTGTGTTCGTCATTCGTGGCCGGGTTGAGTCCATAAAAACTCGCTACAAATTGAGAACCTGGATTAATCACAGGATTGTAATCCAGGATCACGGCAGTGCCAGCTTGGCGCGGTAACGTTCAAGCCACCTTGCCACCTCTCTCTCTGTACTCGAATAAAGAGGCAGAGCAAGCATTATAACGTGCAGTGAATGTGTACTCTGGGAAACCCGTATGGTTTAAACAAAACACCATGCCGTGTATTTTTCACACTTTCCAACTCAGGTTTTAAAGTTTTGTTCGACTGTATTTAGGTGGAGGTCACGATAGATCTTAAGATGATCCAATATACACAAAACCTGAGCATAAAGTTATGTTTCTATTTGGCACTTGCCCTATGAGCCCAAAACGTGATGATTAAATCCAGCGCTTACAAAATAAACGTTGCTGACCAAGGCAAAGATGTCACAGAGCATGTGCTCGCCACCTCTCCCGATGGCTTCACAATGCGTGACGTCACAATGCATGACGTCACAATGCGTGACGTCATCGTGCAACGACACACGTCGGTGTGAAATCATCACCTCGTGCTGCTCTCAAATGGTAGCCCCACTTTTACTATTACCAATATCATCATCACCAATTCATGTTTCACGTTGGAAAATGTTACCGGATTCATGATTTTTCTTCCTTTTTACACGCTTTCTATTAACTCACTCTGTTGTTGTCGTTGTATCCTCAAATCTTGTAACTCAATTTTAACCCACTTCCCAATGTGGTAGACTGCAAAATTGGTATACTTATGTCATACTGATGGCAATACTATATTCTATCATAAAAAAATATATTTTTTTGAACTTTATTTGTTATATATTATGTTTCGGCTTGGGTCTAATTGTCCACTGTCAACTCACGTTGGCTGTAAATCATCACGGTCCCTTACGTTATGGCAAGCTTCAGGGCCGCTTGACGGGGTGGTGGAGCTCTTCCATTACTAGTAGGGTACATTTCATGAAAGCGTGTTTTTAAAAAAAAGTTTTTTTTTTAAATATTACTTATTTGTTTACAAAGCCACATCCATTTCCGGGCCAGGCACGACTGGACATCTGAGAAAAAGAGCTTCACAAGCTCATCGGAATTCCTCCAGTACGAATGAACATGCCGATTCCCAAGTCGGTGTCACTCGCCTGCGGCTGCGAGGCCTTGGGAGGGATCCTCGCCACATTCTCCTGCAGCAGCTTGCTCGCTGTCGTCTGCAGGTTGATGGGGTTGGCCGTCGGCAGGTCAGAGGACGTCAGCGCCAGCTTCTGCCCGTTACTCAATGACGTCACCATGGCGACGGCGGCTTTTTGCGTCACCACGGCGAGTGGCGCGGCCTGAATGGTCGACTTGACCAGCGATATCGGTTTGGCGGCAAGCACGGGCGGCGTCGAAGCACTTTTCTGCAACGACAGGTAGTGCAGTTTTTAGCTGAAAAAGGATCACTCAAAAATAATTTCAAATACGTAATCATGCTTAGTGTCAACTCTTAATTTCTTGGGGTAAAGAGGTAGCCCATATAAAACAGAAACAAATGAAATACAAAACGTATTAGAGTGGAAAAGCCATATTTTTTTCATATATGGAACAGAGGTGGCAATGTAGAGGCATTTGCGGTCACGTGAGAACCGATTCACCGACCCTCGGCAAGTGAGGAGCAGCTTATAATTCAACGAGCATTGCTGAAAGACTTATCTTTCAAGCACAATTAATCCACAGAGTCGAGAATGAACCGTACAACCTACCATGGCGCATGACAATAAGCAACATTTCTATGAGAAACATAATTTAGATAAAAAAAGTGTCGTGCAAAATTAAATGCTATTCCGCCCCAATAAGCTTGAATACATTTCTTATTTACTCAAGGAATTACTTCCTGCCCATCAGTTCTCTCCAGTAAATTGTGTGTGTGACTGGAACTATGATAACAAATGCGGATAAGATCCAGGAAGCTGACAAGTTACTATTTCCTCTACATGCACACAGGGCCAGGGTTTAGCACTTGGCTTTGAGCGGCTGCATAGGGACACCCACGCCTATCTAGTATTCCACCCCCCCACACCGATGCAGTGCCCCCACCAGAAGCGGCCGAGTGTTCGGCTGTGCACTCTGCAGTACGGCACACCAACGTACAAGTGAGCGGGAGGGCAGCCGACTGGACCCCGCTACGCCCTGAATAAAGTGTCTTGAGCAGCAGGAACAGCGCGTCTCTCGGCAGAGCTCTCTATTAAGGATGCGTGCACAAAGGCACAATGTGCTGCGAGCTAAATGTCAGCAAGACCTGCTGCCAATCAGTGAAAGGCAGCAATGGCCGTTTCGCATGAGGCAAAGGAAAAATAATTATCAAAAGGGCTCTGCATAGACGTTTACGGCCACCAGAGAGCAGCCTTCTGAATGCTTGCACACTCCTTTCCGTTATTCTTTCCCTCAGGAACAACGCAAATGAAACTTCTTTCAGGATGTTTAACCGCCAGCTTGGCATGAAAAGAACCGAGCTTCCAAAAGAAACACATAAGCCGTAAATATCAACTATCTCTAGATGTGCGTTATAATGAAATGATTACAGTATTGCAATGCTAGAGGATTAAGTGTGCCTGGTACATATGTACGTACACTAGCTCATGGGTCCACCACGGGTACACAAAGACTTAAAATAGAGCCTCGCATTTTTTTGTTACATTATTTTAATGACATTCACTCTGCATGCAAATAATCATTGCTCACCCCCCCCCACCTCTCTGGGCTATTCAAACCGGCCTTTGTCACACACATCTTATCCTATGTAACTTCACAGTTTTTCTCGTCTGCCAAAAAAACTCACTGGCACGATTCAGTGAAACGGCAAAGTACGAGGTTCCGAGAGAAACATACAAATCATGGGCTCTGTTGGGGAGCGTCGGGTTGCTCTGAAGCAGTGTGCACATGTCCCGAGATCAAGGTTGGTTCAAGCACCGCCCATGATGGCGCATCATTCTGCGGAACCGTGAAACGCAACAATTTCCTTCTGCTTGACATTGGGCTCCGTGTAAACAAGGCGTGTGCAGCAGCATTTCAGATAAATGTGCTGACATTGGCATTCGCAAGGCGTGCACTGTTTATATCTGTTGCTAATTTTACTACATACCGAGTTAACTAAAATGTCCTTGGTTTCAGAATGTTTTAGATTTCATAATATTTGAAATTGCGTCAATAGCCATATGGTATCAAATTAATCGTTGGTTTCTTATTTAAGCCTTTTCGACTTGCTCTCCACTTTGGGCACTGTTAAATATGTGCCCTGAATTAAGCACCATACCTGCATAGCAACCACCGACATTGTTCCACCGAAATAGCCTTTCATGTGAAAATTATATAAGTAAAATATATAGGAGGCAGGATTTAAGGACTTCCAGCAAAACCAAAATGTATCTCGCGGACTGCAGTGTACATACTAATGAAGCGCTGGCTACATCAACAAACGCAAGTCCGGTATAATATATATTTTTATTTCTAAGTGTTTTATTATCACAGTCAATTTGAGAGAGCAACAGCTTGCCTGAAGAACGGGAACATGTTTTTAAAAAATTCTCCACAGCACCACTGCTCATCACGACCACAAGCTCACACCAACGTTCCGCACGCAGCTATCGATGTTTATGCCAACGAAACATTTCATGCTTTGTTTGCAAATTGGAAAGACGAAGCAGGCAAATGTGAAGAAAAAAACGCGCGCAAAAACACACACTTCAAATAAGTAAAAATGCAATGATTCGTTATAAGCCTTTAAATGTGTAATACTGCAAATGGATATGAAGCATAGACTGTGAAGCTCACCTGGGTACTTGCAGACTGCTGCTTGATAAGCAAGTCTTTTCTCAGCTGCTCCACAACCTTTTTCTGCTCAAATACAAAAAAAAACACGCAAAAAAGGGAATGAAAAAAAAGTGAAGGCAAGGGTTAATGTCACACACCTATAAGTCAGTGTAATATTTCAGCAGTAAATGTACAAATAATTGAGTAACAGAGGACACATACTGCCAAGTCTGCACCTGCTGCTGAGGAGTGGATTGGCAGCCCGAAATCCAATTTGTCGATAACGAACTCGGCTCAGCAGGCTGCTACTAAGTGCAACTTCATAAAGAGAGGCGTAAACGAAGTGCACGCGAGATAAAAGGGGGCCAGCCCGGGATAATACAAATCAAGACGAGCCATCAAGGCGATGCTGGGAGAGCGGAGCGACAATCCACGACTGATTAAAAAAAAGACCCTCCCCATGTTAAACGTGACACGAAACCCCCATGTATTCTCAAAGCATATGGTCTTCACAGCAAGAAGAACTTATGGGACTTGATTGGAGTTCAGAACGCATGACCTTTGGGCTAATTAAGCACTTTACGCCCCACAAGGAAATATTTTGGGTGGGTTTTTTTAATTAAATGATAACGGTTTCTCATGATGTAGGTTGAAGTGGACGATGATGCAATTCGACATTAGTGAGAACCAACCCCCTTACCGTTAAAAGCTTTTGAAGTGACCAAAAACATTAACTAATTGCTTCGTTATCTGCTTTTAAAACTAACTAAACTCGCGATGGTTCTTTAAATGTATTAAGCGGCCACCGTTAACCGAAATACATTATAAGCCGCTCTGACATTTACAGAAAGAGGACAAAAAACAACCGACAGTCGAGCAGCTTCAGGTTTAAATAAACTGTCGCAATCACATCACAGCGACAACATAATTTTCGGAGTTTACAATTTAAAGCGAAGCAGGAAGGTTATTATTAAAAGCACATCTTTCGGACCATTTGCAGTGCACAATATATTGCCACAGTTTAAAACTAAAAATAAAGTAAACAAAAAAATAGATTTGGAAGGCATCGGGATGAGATGTACAGTTGCCATGACAACTTAAGAATGGCTCAAAGTCCTGCATTATCTCTGTGCTGCAGTGTAGAAACTGGCATAAAACCTGACACTGGCGTGCTTACGAATCCTCCATTTATCAGCGGGATGGCAGAGCATCACCGTGTTTCTGCTGGAAATTACCAATCTCCTACTCGCGACTAGAGATTCCTGCTCCAGGCTATAACTGACAAGAGGAAAGGGAAGACACAGAGGAGAAGTTTTTTTTGTAGTGAGCACACTGAGAAACGCCGTTTGCGAACGTTACAAGGCCTCGGCAGATGGTCGATTGTTGCAGGGGATTTAGACGTGATTAGTTTCCTAATTTGTAAGGACAGGCCCTCCTCCCCTGCCCCCATTCTTCCATATCACAATTTCTATGTCATCATGTTCCTTTTTGGTCCTAAAAAAAAAATACATGCACATGTCATTTTGAAAATATGGCCAACTATATATTTTTCACTTACACAGCCTTTTTTTTAATTGGAGCTAAAGAACAATCGAACAAACTTGCGCATAACACAGAGTATCATCTGCTCGCTTTTCAGCCGTGTTAGTTTCTGCGGAAACTACGCGACTGCAAAAGTTTCCTTTTGGAAGGCTAAGAACGCAGTGCACTTTTTTCGGGAACACACAGCACCATCCAATAACGCAACGTTTTCTTTTTTTTAATAGCATGCTCTGGTTACGAGCTACTGCCCCAGATAAATCAATGGAATCAATAAAATACATAATTAACCACGGAAGGACTATATACGTGTGGGATTTATTTCTATGCAAATTTCTTCGAATATTATAGTTTAATGATTCAATCTTTGTTATATTTAAAGGTTCCCTCCATTTGTTATTTATAAGGAAAGGTCATCAGTCAGAGATCAGATCAATGAGCAGGATGCTGCTGGGCGGGCAGGGGTCACGTGAGCTGGCTCCCAGCTGCCTGGGCTAGTCCATTCATTTGAATGCGAGAATGGTGACTCAGCCCTAGAACATGGACTCAACCATTACGCAAACTCGACCCCCACCCACCAGTCTTTCTCTTCCTCCCTACCACCCCCTTTTTGCCACGAGTCAACAGGACAATGGTTACAAAATTAAATGAAGAAAAGATGCAAGCCTTATAGGAAATTGGAGAAGTGTACGCCTAAACAAATTTCCAATTAAATCATTGTTATTTCCAATTTGTTCGGCAAAGCTCCATCAAAACCTTTAATATTTTCAGGGCTTGCCAGAACACCACAATCGAGGAATGCAAGGAATTCTGGGTATAAGACGAGACCATTTTAAAATAAAACGGAGCCCGAAGCAAAATCCCATCCTCTGCTCCGTATAAATATATGCAAGACATTGTCAAATCATATTTATCACTCGCAGCTTTAAACTTTTAAACGTATTAACAATTTTCATTTCAATATATTTTTTTAGTATGTACACACTACTGACTGCAACAGCAAAATCGTACATTTTAAGCACTTACAGATACTATGAAAACCCATTTATATTTTGTTATGCGCAGCGTTTTTAGAAGAAAAAAAATATGTAATTTACTTTACCTTGTAAGTCTTTAATACATTTAATTATTTGCATTTCAATGTTAAACAGAACATTTCCCTTTTATTGCTTTGTTCTGATAATCAAACAAAAGACGAGAATGAAAAAAAAACACTATTTGATTAAGTATAAAACGTGCGGTCTAAAGGTTTCATGTACACATCAAAGCAGCTTCGTCTCAGCCTGGACTTTTGCTGAGAGCTGATAAAAAAAAAATCTTCATTCAACACCCACCCCTTTACTCCCCCCCCCACCCCACCCCACTTCTGCACCACCCACCACTCTGTACAATCCCAGCAACCTCCCCCATCCCACCCCCGCCTACACACTTTGTCTCTTGGCATGGGAAGTGTATCCACCAATCAACCCACACCAACAAGTTACCTTGGCAACGACTCCTGGAAGAGAGCGATACGAGCAGAGAACATTTTTTTTTTAAAAAAAATCCTTTTTCTGCGCGAGCTTATTACTGGAATCAGCAAGTCGAGCCACCCTCCCGAGCTGAATCCGTAATAAGCCCAAACGCTGAAACAATTCGGAACGTGTGCACTAAATGTGATGTGTTTTTTTTTTGTTGCGCCACTTTCACACTCCAGTGGCGGCCCCGTCTCATCACTTGCACATTTTTAATTGCGTTCAAGTCCAGCTTGGTACCGTTGAGGTCATTATGCAAATTCTCTTTTCACCTTTGCTTAAATGACAACAACCGCAGGTTGTGTGTAATGCCAACTACTATCGTTAATTTTCTGGACTCTGTACGTATATTAAAATTTTTAAAAAAGATGTGTTTTTCTTTTGACGAAGGAAAATCCAACAAATGTCATCGGTATGCAAGTGTTGCCAATCACACCCACGCGCGCGACGGGTTTTTGCACTTGACACTGATAAAAATAGATTTTAATTCTTCATCCGACAGCTCCCAAAAGGCAAGAGTTAACCATACTGTCCTACCTGTAGATCAAAGTTGTAAGGCTGCTCTTCCAACCCAATTTTTCTTTCATATTTCACGTAGCAGAGCTTTATAGTTTGCCGTTACTGACGGGAACCACTGCATTCCCCCTTGGGTTCTCGTACGCACAAACACACAGGTACCGAATAATCAGTGACACAAACGGCACACTTAATTGGCTACCATTTGCCATATGAACAACGACGCAGAAGAACACACTTTCGGAGCAGTGACGGTGTAAAGCGTTCTCCCAAACAAACATTACATTCATACAGTGCGATGCATTAGCATGGAAGCAGTTGTCACCTAACGGACGCGGGGGTTTGATGTAGCACGTGACTTGGAAATTCATCAACGCCGTGACATGCCACGTTTCACTGCTGACGGTGTTGAAGTTCAGGCAGCGAACGGCTCCAAAAGCTGTTGTGCACAATTTGGGGTTCAATGCTTAAGCAGGAAGGGAAAACAAATAGAACTTTGGCTCACGCAGGGAATCGCTCTTTCCTTTATTGCAGTCGACAGGGATTTTAAACAGCGTGTGAATCAAATCTCACTCGGCCGATGACCACTCTTGTCTTCCAAATATATATTTTTTTTTTGTGGCGCCATTAATTCATTACAAAGCAGAGAGGGTGAAAAACAAAACTGGATGTTCCAGTGGTAAATGCCAGACAAGTCACGCCCAAAAAGGAATTACGACATTTTGGTAATGTGGTACACTTTGCCCAGTCACGTCTAGGTGCTTGTTTATAATTCATCCCCTCGTATGCAAAGGTTTTGATATACTGCATCCAGGGGTTGTTAATTTTAATCGAGTCATCGATGATCTCATGCAAAATGCGGCCAAATAAATTCGATCATCGGTTAACCAACCATCACCAATCCACACTGACCAGCGTGGTGAATTATATACAAGCAATAGCCCATTACTTGACACAGCATGGCGAGTCCTTCAACCAGCAGTGGAATGGCAAAGGCCTGAAAGATGTTTTGCATTTATTTTGTACGTAACGGGTTGTCACATGACTAAGCAGAACGCTCCACATTGTTTGAGTATTCGCGTGCCAATCGGTTCGATGGCATCTAAAATTGTGCTGGATTTGATTATCAAGTCTATGAATTTTGAAATCGATCATAATCGATTGTGGAAACAATTATATAAAAATATAAACAAATCTATTCACCCGAATCGGCTCTTGCATTACTTTTTTAAAATAGGTCTACCTTTGTTATTTTCAATGGAACTGTGCACAAAATATTCCAAGTGTAGTACGTTTCTATGAACATATTACTTTAACAGTGAAGAGCGCCCACAATATCTTCTCCTGAAAAATGTGATTAAAGCCATTTCAACAAATGAATCGCTTTCTATAATGGCAAAGTTAAGTTTGTTACGGCTGGAGTACCAGAGCTGAACGTTCTGTGCATTCTGCCCAGAGTTAAATATATTAATACAAATCCTCGAGTCATTCTTTACAATGCAAGACACCATATTG